ATTATAAAAGTAGAAAATGTTACACATTTATAATGAATTTTATAAACATTTTGACAGATTTTACAAATCATTTCAATCAGTTTATAGATAGTGTGATTAACTGTAAATGTACTATTTTTGTAAATATTTTCATATATTTTAGAAATCGTTTTAACAATTATCAATAATTTCAGTGATTCATGTCTAAATGATAAATTTTGAGTAAATTTTAAAAAGAGTTACAGTACGTTGTAAATGTAACATTCACTAGGATAGTTTTTCAGCAAATATTTATTTAAACCTGCTAAATCTGGCAAAATAGTGAAAAATTATCTGAACTATTCATAAAAACGTGCAGAACTTGATTCATTTGTGTATATTGTCTCTTACATATGTTAAGGCAATGCTGTTTGGTCTGAGTTTGAATTTTCTACCAGTAACTGTGTTGAATATTTTGCTGATGGACTCTTTTTACACATTTGACTGAAGTAAATTTAACACATTTAGCTGTATTTTCAGATGTTTTGTTTGCTGTTTATATTTGGACATGAAGCAGCTTTAGGAGAAGCATAAAGACTAAATATTGAGTACATACATGACTTGCGTTGCTGTTTATGAATTTACTGTATTGTGCTGCCAGATTTTATTAAGAGCCGTTGGAAAACGCACCAGGTGACAGAAGGCCCATGAGAACACAGCTTGATGGTAGGCGGGTAGATGGAGAGAGAGACAGAGAGGGAGGTGTGAGAACAAAAGTCACACGCAAAAACGTGTAATTCTGCTACGCGGTCTTGTTTTATCTTTATCTTCACACGTTTGATGTCCTTATCTAAAATTCAGCAAGTAAGAGATGAAGGAGATGTTTATCTAGATTCAAATCCAAAGTCTACTTCCAACATTTTAGGTATAAAAACACTGTGCTGGTGATAATTTCAAAGGGTTGGTCTACTGACGGTAGCTTGTAGGGATCGCTCTACTGATCATAACCTTGAGTGCATTACAACACTTACAATAACTTTCAAGGACTGCTGTACTTCGAAGGATCAACAGTAACTATAAGTGTCGCTGCTAACAATAAAAGGGGTCACTCTGCTGACAATAACTTTCAGAGGTCACTCTTCTGACAATAAGTGTCACTCCACTGACAGTAATTTTAAGGGGCCACTCTACTGACATTAACTGTAAGGGTTGCTCCACTGACAGTAACTTTCAAAGATCACTTTGCGGACAGTGACTTTAAGGGATGGCTGTACTGACAATAACTGTAAGGGTGACAAACTTTAAGATTGCTCTGCTTGCAATATATATATATTTTTTTGCTGGCAAAAATTAAAAGGGTCGCTTTACTGAAAGTAACTTTCAGAGGTCGCTTCTCTGACAGGACTATATGTGTCACTCTACCGACATTAATTGTAAGGGTTGCTCCACTGACAGCAACTTTCAGAGATCGCTCTGCTTACAATTGCTGTAAGGATCTTTTTGCTGGCAAAAATGATAAGGGTCATTTTACTGAAAATAACTTTCAGAGGTCACTCTTCTGACAGTAACTAAGGGTTGCTCTACTAACAGTAACTTTTTAGATATCCCTCTGCTTATAATAACTGTACGGGTCATTTTACTGGAAATAATTATAAGGGTTGCTCTACAGACACTGACTTTAAGGGGTCGCTCTGCTGGCATTAACTATAAGTGTTGCTCCACTGACAATAACTTTCAGAGATTGCTATGCTTAGAATAACTGTAAGAGTAATTTTACGGGCAAAAACTATAAGGGTTGTTCTGCTGACAACTTTCAGAGACCATTCTTCTGACAGTAACTATAAGTGTCACCCTACTGAGAGTAACTTTAAGGGTTCGCTCAACTAACAGTAACTGTAAGGGTCGCTCTAATGACAGTAACTTTGAGATCCCTCTGCTTACAATAACTGCAATGGTCATTTTACTGGCAATAACTATAAGGGTCGCTTTACTGACAAAAACTTTAAGGGGTCACTCTATTGACTAACTGTAATGGTCGCTCCACTGACAGTTATTTTCAGAGATCACTCGCTTACAGTAACTGTAAGGGTAATTTTACTGGTTAAAACCATAAGGGTCATTCTCTTGAAAATATCTTTGAGGTCGCTCTTCTGACAGGAACTGTATGTGTCACTCTACTGACAATTACTTTAAACGTCATTTAACTGACATTAACTGTAGGGGTCACTTTACTGAAAGTAACAATGTTCTAGAAATCAGCTGGAGTACCATAGCAAATGCATAGCAGCGCCATAGCAATTGCCTGAAATACCATAGCAGTACCCTAGCAACCACTTGGAATGCCATCGCAACTGTCTAGCAACACCTCAGCAACCATCTGGAACACCATATTAACCACCTCAGCAACCAACTCTGTTGACAATAACTGTAATGGTCGCTCCGCTGACAATTATTTTCAGAGATCACTCTGCTTACAGTAACTGTAAGGGTAATTTTACTGGTGAAAACTTTAAGGGTCATTCTCTTGAAAATATCTATGAGGTCGCTCTTCTGACAGGAACTGTATGTGTCACTCTTCTGACACTTACTTTAAACATCACTCAACTGACATTAACTGTAAGGGTCACTTTACTGAAAGTAACTTTCAGAGGTCACTTAACTGACATGAACTGTAGGGGTTGCTCCACTGATGGTAACTTTCAGAGATCGCTCTGTTTTCAACTAACTGTAGGGGTCATTTTACTGGCAAAAACAATCCGGGTCATTCTACTGACAACTGTCAGAGGTCGCTCTTCTGACATTAACTTAAAGTATCACTCCACTGACAGTAGCTTTAAGGGGCCATTCTACTGACATTAACGCTAAGGGTTGCTCCACTGACAGCACCTTTCAGGTTGCTCTGCTTACAAGAACTGTAATGGTCATTTTAGTGGCAATAACTATAAGGGTAGCTTTACTCTCAATAACTTTGAAGAGTCACTGTACTGATCGTAATTTTCAGGGGTTGCTTTCGTGACAGTAACTTTAAGGGGTCGCTCCGGTGACAATATTTTGTAGTTAAATCAGCCTTGTGGTCTTTAGAAAATGTTTTTCATACGGTTGGATATTGAGTGGGTGTGTGCCTGCTTCGCCTCATTGTTTCTGTACCTGTTGTTTTTCAGTGTGTCTGGGTCCTCCTGCTGCTGATGTAATTGAGCGGATTGGTAGAGTGAGAGTTTGTAGAAGCGTGGCGTGTGGGAACCGTGCTGTCCCTTCATTAGCCCCCGACCCTAACCGTGCTCAACGCTAATCTCCACTCTCACCCCACATCCCCTACAGCTAGCACAGCCATAGGAGGGAGGAGGCAATGATGCTGTAATACGAACTACGCAGTGCAGCCTAAAGCTTTAATGTATTTGCTTATTTATTTAGTATTAACATATTATTTATTTAGCATTAACATCAATGTGTGTGTTTGTAGTGTGTTTACTGTATGCATGACACGAGAGCAGCATTTTCAGAAGTTCTGACTTCAGTAAATGCACACAGAATCCCTCTCCAGTTCTCCAAAGTCCCTCTCCAGGTCCTGCACATTATTAAATTGGATTGAAAAAGCCAACTTACTGTTCTTTGTTTTCTTGTTATTATTCACTCATTGTACAGAATGTATCCAAAAGTTATGCCACCATGATACAACTACAGTAGCAAAACCTTAGCAACCACGTGGGATACCATAGCAACCACCTAGTAACCACCATGCAACTCTCTAGCAACAACCAGAGACAACATGGCAACTGCATTGCAGTACCTTAGCAACCACTTGGAACACCATGGCAGCCATATAGTAATACTCTAGCAACCACCTGAAACACTGAACAGCCACCTAGTAACACCCTAGCAACCACTTCGGATGCAATTGCCTAACAATGTTCTAGAAATCAGCTGGAGTACCATAGCAACTGCATTGCAGCGCCATAGCAATTGCCTGAAATACCATAGCAATACCCTAGCAACTGTCTAGCAACACCTCAGCAACCATCTGGAACACCATATTAACCACCCTCAGCAACCAACTACCAACACCTCAGCAAAACCAGAGACACCATAGCAACCACATTGCAGTACCTTAGCAACCATTTGGACCATCAAGGCAGCCATATAGTAATACTTCAGCAACCTCCTGAAACACTGTAGCAAGCACCTTGGATGCAACTGCCCAATAATGTTCTAGAAATCAGCTGGAGTACCATAGCAACTGCATAGCAGCACCATGGCAATTGCCTGAAATACCATGGCAACACCCTAGCAACAACTTGAAATACCATAGCAACTGTCTAGCAACACCTCAGCAACAATCTGGAACACCATATTAACCACCTAGCAACCAACTACCAACACCTTAGCAACATCCAGAGACACCATAGCAACCGCATAGCAGTACCTTAGCAACCACTTGGAACACCATGGCAGCCATACAGTAATACTCTGCACTGTAGCAGCCAGACAAAGAAAATAACCCCTTTTTATGTGAAATAACCTAAAAATAACTGCAGAAATGCAGCACAAACAACCACTATGCTCAAGTATGCGATACGTCATAAACACTGGAGACTGTGGGACTCTGTTCGGTGCTCTTATTACCACAGATAATGCAAACCAGTAAAAGCAAGTAAAGGAAGCACATCTGACTGGGTATTAAGGATCAGCCTACTGAGAATGACAGTAAGGGTCGCTCCACTGACAGTTATACCATATCTATATGTAGAGTACAGAGAACTACAGGAGCATATTTAAACATATTGATAGATTAATGTGTATTGTGTCTTTGTTTCTGCTGGTGGAAACTTCTCTAAATCTAATTGGCCCACGTCATTTATTTCAGAATCAGTTTTGCTACTTCCTTTACTTTTAAATAGAAAATAAATAGAGAGTTGTGCTTAAGTAACTAATGTAGTGCTGTATATTATGGGTATTGTAGTGTTTTAGCTGTGTTGTAGACTATTTTCAGAAGTCTACTGGTGTGTTGTGGGTAATATAGTTCTGTGTGTTTTTCCCCCCCACAGTCTGTACAGTGCACTGTCAGAAGTTCCTGATCTCTCGGGTCGGCGAGGACTGGATCTTTCTCATTCTGCTTGGCCTGGTCATGGCGCTCGTCAGCTGGGTGATGGACTTCTGCATCGCACTATGCCTACAAGGTAGGGCTGTGTGTGTGTGTGTGTACGTGTGTGTGTGTGTGTGTGTGTGTGTGTGTGCGTGTGTGTGTGTGTGTGCGCATGTACGCATGTGTGTGTTTCCCAATCCATCTCTTTATTTCTCTTCCCATTACTCTGAAATGCATGGCGTCTAATGGAGAGAGAATTGGATAGATGGATGAGGAAACTGCAATGATGGATCAGTCAGGAATCACATGGATGGATGGATGTAAGGGTGGATGGATCGGGTGGATAAATTGGGATTCATATGCACAGATCAATGAACGGATGGGATGATGCAACATTGTGCTGAGGGCTGAATGGATGGGAATTTGTGTAAATTAGATGAATGGATGAATGGGGATTCAGATGGATGGATGATAAGTGGATGAGTGGATGGGAAACACCTGATAGATGAGGGAAAATGATGGATGGATGGATGGATGGATGGAGGGACAGATGGATGGATGGATGGGGAGCCATACTGATGGTTGGATAAATGGGAAATCATAGGGATGGATGGATGGAGGGACAGATGGATGGATGGATTGGGAGCCATACTGATGGTTGGATAAATGGGAAATCGTAGGGATGGATGGATGGAGGGACAGATGGATGGATGGATGGGGAGCCATACTGATGGTCGGATAAATGGAAAATCGTTGGGATGGATGGATGGGAAATCTTACTAATGGATGGGGAATTATCCTGTTAAGTGGATGAGTGGATGGAGAATCATCTTGATGAATGGGTGGATGGGAATCATACTGATGGGTGGAGGAAAGGGAAATCATACGGATGGATGGATAGGTAAATGGATCGATGGATGGATGATGGATGGATGGGGAATCAAACTTATAGATGGTTGAATCCTACTGATAGACAGATGAGTAGATGGTTGGATTGCACTGATGGTTGAATGGATGGGAAATCATACTGATGGATGGGTGAATGGATGGGGAATCATACTGATGGATGGATGAATGGATGGGGTATCATACTGGTGGATGGATGAAAGGATGGGGAATCATACTGATGAATGGATGGGGAATCATACTGGTGGATGAATGGATAGGGAATCATACTGATGGATGGATGAATGGATGGGGAATCATACTGATGGATGGATGAATGGATGGGGAATCATACTGATGGATAGATGAAAGGATGGGGAATCATACTGATGGATGGATGAATGGATGGGGAATCATACTGATGAATGGATGGGGTATCATACTGATGGATGGATGAAATGATGGGGAATCATACTGATGGATGGATGAATGGATGGGGAATCATACTGATGGATGGATGAATGGATGGGGAATCATACTGATGGATGGATGAATGGATGGGGAATCATACTGATATATGGATGAATGGATGGGGAATCATACTGATGGATGGATGAATGGATGGGGAATCATACTGGTGGATGGATGAATGGATGGGGAATCATACTGGTGGATGGATGAAAGGATGGGGAATCATACTGATGGATGGATGAATGGATGGGGTGTCATACTGATGGATGGATGAATAGATGGGGAATCATACTGATGGATGGATGAATGGATGGGGGGTCATACTGATGGATGAATGGATGGGGAATCATACTGATATATGGATGAATGGATGGGGAATCACACTGATGGATGGATGAATGGATGGGGGGTCATACTGATGGATGAATGGATGGGGGAATCATACTGATGGATGGATGAATGGATGGGGAGTCATACTGATGGATGATGAACTAGGATGGGGAATCATACTGATGGATGGTATGAATGGATGGGAAATGGGGGTCATACTGATGGATGAATGGATGGGGAATCACACTGATGGATGGATGAATGGATGGGGAGTCATACTGATGGATTGATGAACTAATGGGGAATCATACTGATGGATGGATGAATGGTTAGTGAATCATTTTGATGGATGAATGGATGAGTAGTCATACTGATGGGTTGATGAAGTGATGGGGAGTCATACTGATGGATGGATGTTGGGGATGGATGGATGGATGAATGGATAGGGAATCATACTGATAGACGGATGGATGGGGAATTATACTGTGATGAATGGATGAGTGGGCGGGGAATCATTACACTGATGGATGGGGCATCATACTAATGATATGAATGAATGAATGAGGAATTATGCTAATGGATGAATGAATGAATAAATGAATGAGTAATCATGCTGATGGATGAATGGATAGGGAATAATGCTGATGAATAAATGAATGAATGAATGAATTAATTAATGATGAGGAGTCATACTGATGGATGGATGAACGGGGAATCATGCTGGTGGATGATGGAGTGGGGAATCATGCTGATGGATGAATGGATGGGGAATCATGCTGATGAATAAATAAATGGGGAATCATGCTGATGAATGAATGAATGAATGAATGGGGAATCATGCTTGATGAATGAATGAATGAGGAATCATGCTGATGAATGAATGAATGGGGAATCATGCTTGATGAATGAATGAATGAGGAATCATGCTCATGGATGAATGGGTGGGGAATCATGCTGATGGATGAATGAATGGGGAATCATGCTGATGAATGAATGAATGGGGAATCATGCTTGATGAATGAATGAATGAGGAATCATGCTGATGGATGAATGGGTGGGGAATCATGCTGGCAGATGGAGGAATGGGGTATCATGCTGATGAATAAATGAATTGGGAATTATGCTGATGAATGAATGAATGAATGAATGGGAAATCATGCTAATGAATGAATGAATTGGGAATCATTGATGAATAAATGAATCGGGAATCATGCTGATGAATACATGAATGGTGAATCATGCTGATGAATAAATGAATAGGGAATCATGCTGATGAATGAATGAATGAATTGGAAATCATGCTGATGAATGAATGAATTGGGAATCATGCTGGTGGATGGAGGAATGGGGAATCATGCTGATGAATACATGAATGGGGAATCATGCTGATTAATGAATGAATGAGGAATCATGCTGACAGATGAATGGATAGGGAATCATGCTGATGAATAAATGAATTGGGAATCATGCTGATGGATGGGATGAATGAATGAATGAATGAATGTAGAATCATGCTAATGAATGAATGAATGAATGAATGAGGAATCATGCTGATGGATGAATGAATGAGGAATCAAGCTGATGGATGAATGGATGAGGAATCATGCTGATGGATGAATGGATAGGGAATCATGCTGATGAATAAATGAATAGGGAATCATGCTGATGAATGAATGAATGAATGAGGAATCATGCTGACAGATGAATGGATAGGGAATCATGCTGATGAATAAATGAATAGGGAATCATGCTGATGAATAAATGAATGGGGAATCATGCTGATGAATGAATGAATGGGGAATCATGCTGATGAATGAATGAATGAGGAATCATGCTGACAGATGAATGGATAGGGAATCATGCTGATGAATAAATGAATTGGGAATCATGCTGATGGATGGATGAATGAATGAATGTAGAATCATGCTAATGAATGAATGAATGAATGAGGAATCATGCTGATGGATGAATGAATGAGGAATCAAGCTGATGGATGAATGAATGGGGAATCATGCTGATGAATAAATGAATGGGGAATCATGCTGATGAATAAATGAATGGGGAATCATGCTGATGAATAAATGAATGGGAATCATGCTGATGAATGAATGGATGGGGAATCAAATTGATGGATCTATAGATGGGGAAATCATACTTATGGATGAGATGGTTGGATGGGGAATCACACAGGTGAATGGACGGAGAGATGTATGGGACGAGGCGTTCACTGTGCTACAGTGCAGTTAGCTTTTGGACACTATTATATCTCATAAAATATATTTACTAGTTGTCGTACTAGACTACATGTTTCTTATCCTTTTCTGAGCCGTTGCACAGAATATAATCGCTTAATCATTAAAAAACCTGATCTCATGATAAATTGGCTGTAAAATTATTAGGAATAAACTATCAGTATATTACCGTACCTTAAAGTTACTGGTTTTGAGATATGAGATTGGTAGCAATAATCCACAGAAAGCTGTAGCCTATGAATGAGGGGCACAGAGACTTGTTTGATTTGATGATTTTTGTCTTGAAGAGAGTCCAAGTATTAAAATGGTGGAATATGAAAGTGAATCTAGGTCTGTGTTCTTGTGTTTAAATCCAGCGTGGCTTGAAGTCTTTAGCTGCTCACAGCAGAGTCGTCAGATTACTGTAAGTGAGAGTGTGGATAATGGTGTGTACGTATGTGTGAGACGTGCACATGCATCAGTCATGCTTCCTAATTTGCTTCCAGAAATAGTTACTGGAGCGTCACTCTGTGTGCGTATGTGAACGTGATGAACGTAGAGAGCAGTTTTACATGCAGAAGGTGCAGAGAGGCAGTGGCATGCTCATACTTTGGCGAGGGCGGGGCTGAGGTGTTTCAAAAGGCCATTTTTGTGGGGGGCACTTCTGGAAGAGCTCATATTAGTCGAGATCACATAGAGGCACTAATGGAAATAAGCATTTTTGTTGCTCCAGCAGCACTGCTGTGTCTGATCCACTCAGACCAGCACAACACACACTAACACACCACCACCACGTCAGTGTCACTGCAGTGCTGAGAATGATCCACCACCCAAATAGTACCTGCTCTGTGAGGGTCCATGGGGGTCCTGACCACTGAAGAACAGGGTAAAAGGGGGCTAACAAAGTATCAGAGAAACAGATGGACTACAGTCTGTAACTGTAGAACTACAAAGTGCACCTATATAGTAAGTGGAGCTGATAAAATGGACAATGAGTGTAGAAACAAGGAGGTGGTCAGAATGTTATGCCTCATCGGTGTACACTAAAGGAGCTACATTTCTTGGGGGAATGATTGTTTATCTCAGTTGTAATTATTAGTAACAAATTATTAATCGAAAAATAGTGTATTTTGTCTGTGATTTTATAAAAGCAATAAGCCACTTGAGGCCATGCGTTACAGTGTTTTTATCACAAGTAACAGTGGATTACTTAACCTACTTAACCTGTGGTAAAATCACTGTAGTGCATAGCCTTTCATGGACTGTTGCGTTATTATACAGCTGTAACAATGACTATCAGAGCATCTCTGTATACCAACAGGAATGCTGTCATATTCATACACTCATATACACACACTTTTAGATGGATATGTCTCTTTGTGTGTCTCAGGAGTGCCATCTAATGCTATTGACCTTCCATTTTAGCTGTATGTGTGTTTTCACTCTCTCTCTCTCTCTCTCTCTCTCTCTCCCTTCCCCTCCCCCTCTCTCTCTTTAGCCCAGAAGTGGATGTATGGAGGTTTGGACAGTAATGTGGTGCTGCAGTATCTGGCCTGGGTCACCTATCCAGTAGTCCTCATCAGCTTCTCAGCAGGTTTTACGCACATAGTAGCACCGCAGGCTGCTGGTAAGAAATATACATGTGTGTGTGTGTGTGTGTCATATATATAATTATATACAATAATATGCAATGATTTATCAGTCTACAGATTCATCAGTGTTTTGTAAAAGAGCTGTTAATTAAGGATCACTTTTTATAGGTTGAGGGGCTCAGTGAAAGCTGAAATCGAGTGTGTTCTGTGGTGCGTGTGGCACTGTCATGCTTAGTTTTTCTGAGGGTTTTTTTTTATTATTATTTTTTTGTTAATTTTTTACCCAATTTTCTCCCCAGTTTAGTCGTGTCCAATTCCACCCGCTAGTTAAGACTCCAGTCACAAGATACTACCAATGCTAGGAGGGTGAAGGCTACACAGGCTTCCTCCGAGACCTGTGAAACCAGCCACCACATCTTTTCGAACTGCCGCTCACGCAACGTCACTGGACAGCTGAACGCGCTCGGAGGAAAGCGCCAACCGCCAGATCTGTTACGTCAGCTAGCAGACGCCTGCGCTGACTAGCATCACGCTGAGTGATGGGGGGAGAAGGGGGGGCCATCCTACCCACCCAGAGAGAGCGAGGCCAGTTGTGCTCTCTTGGACTTCCGGCTACGGACGGCTGTAGCACCACCAGGGATCGAACTCGCGATCTCCTGATGATAGGGCCAACGCTTAGACGCTGAGGGCTTTTTTAATGGCTCTGATTGTCCCCTTCTTCTATCTGCGCCACCCATCCTCTATCAGTGAGCTTCTCCAAAACAGACTTTCTCAACCACTGGGTCAGGGATCTCACCTGGGCCACGAAGCACTCCTTGGTGGTCCTTGGACCCTTACTGAGGGGGGCCAGTGGTCGGTAGTGGGCCTGTGATGGCATGCTGTCGGAAAAATCAGTGGAAAAATTAATTGACATAACAATAAAAAGGAAATACAAATGTTTTCAGACAGTTAACAATAATACAAGCCGCGCAGTTATTTTTTTTGCCCTTTCCTGACCTTTCAGTTGTCCACGCTTTGGAACCAGCCAATAAACTCACAGAAGAAGACGTGACTTTAACGTAACATGAAACTCAAACTTCATGCTGTGGCTTTTTTTTAAAACATCGACCCACTTTACCAGAAAATATGAACATACATCATCTAGAAGATGCAGAATATTTAAATCCCTCATTTCGTCAAGAATGTATTTGGTTTCAACATCACTCCAAAAGTGTTTTGCTGCGTCTCGTGGGAACGCTGCTCGCTTATTTCCAGTCTGTTCCGCACATGCGCTAAGAGAAACGAAAGAAATCAGAGTAAGAGTTCATATGCACTCAGAAATCTGATTACTGAGCTAAAATCCAGCTCTCTTCATCGGATTTCTCAATTGGACTTCTAGACCTTACTGTGCTGTTTACATGACCACTTGAATAATCAGATAACTGCAGAAATCTGATTATGATTGGATTAGTGAGTGCATGTAAACACACTCAGTGACGACTGCAAAATTTTTTCATACCATAATGCTCATCCAACCTGCCAACACATTTGTGGGTGGAGCATGTATAGATCAGTTAGCACCTAAATGTTAATGACAATTTGCAAAAGAAAAGAAAATGCATCCAGCATGGCGACAGCTCTGTACTCACTACTCCATAATCAATTAGAACCTCTTCAGTTGTGGCTTTTTAAAAGCCTGAACTTCATGCAATTCAATTTTGGTAGTTGTAGTTACTGAACAATGGATGAAAAGGCGGTAAAGTGGGCAACAGCATCACAATGGCAGCTGTCTGCCGGCTCTTTGAAGAGGGTTTCAGCATGGGAACACATTGTTCCACGTATTGGCCGCTGTCTAGGCCTGGCATTGGTGTAGAGAGGTTAAACAATGCTTAAAAGCATATTTGTAATGGATTTTATGTAACCCTAATTAGCTAGAATGGATTCATGCTTTTCTAGGCAGTTGTGATAAACCATTTGTTCAGCAAGGACGTCACTGTATGTGTGTAGTGTGTTAAACGTATTGAATTACAATTCAGTTAAATCACCAGATCTGTTCAGAGTGATTTCAGTTATAAACAGAAAACACAAAGTAGCTGATGGCAAAGTGTTCACTCTTTTTAGTATTACTCTCCGAAATCGTCACTGGTGCAGCCAATTGGTGTTAAAACATAATTAGTTAAACGGAGATGAGTCAAGTGGTTGTAGTGTAAACGCAGCTGTATATGGAAGGCCCAACTTCTGGTCAGTCAGTATCATGGCATAACCTGCACCATGAAGTGCTGTTATTAGTCATTTCCATTATACTGGTATGCAAGCAAATGCAGGTAGTGTGATGCAATTAAGCACCTTTAAGGGGTTCTAGAAAAACTTGGTGGTTATTTTTGGAACCCTAGACCTTTCTGGGGGACCTCAAAGTCCTCTTTTATCCTAGCTGGTTTGTGAGCAACCAGAAAGTTTGTTGAGCATCTACAGTCGTACACAAAACTTGAATAAGCCCAGTCAAATGAATTCTGGATATTAATTCTACTGTAACTTCTACAGTTTTCTCAGTCATTTTAGAGTCTTCTTCAGCTTTGGTCATCGTCCTGGACACATCTAACATTTCTTCATATTTATATACAGCTCGCCAATGTCCAGCTGATGAAAACTTGAAACCTGAGAATTCAGGATGAGTAAATTAGAATCCTATGTAAATTTGTTTATGAAAAATGTACCATATGCATAATCGGTAAACAATCCTTAAACTGAGTGTGTTTACATGTACTCAATAATCTGATCAGAATTGAATTTCTACAGTCTGATTATTCAAATGGTCATGTTTATAGTACACTCTGAATTCGAAGAAATCTGATTTCTCAGCACATGTGAACGCTTACTCTGATTTCTTTCATATTTCATACAGTCTGAGCGAAATAGACGGCATTGCCAGTATTAAGTGAGCAGCGTTGCCGCGAGACACAGCAAAACACTTTTGGAGCGACACTTGAATAAATAAAGGATTTAAATATTCTTCATCTTCCAGATGATGTATGTTCATACTTTTCAGGGAAAGCGGCGCCATGTTTTTTAAAAAAAGCTGCAGCTTGAAGTTCGAGTTTTACGTTACGTCACGTCGTTTTCTGTGAGTTTATTGGCTGGTTGTGAAGCAGAAATCTGATTACTGCCTGACTCATGTAGACCCAGAGTTTCCCCATTATCTGATTACTCAAGAGCATGTAAACACGTTGGTCAGATTACTGACAAAACCTGATTTTCTGCAGTTATTGGATTATTATCAACTGTAGTGTTGTGCTTGAGTTCTAGTAAAGATAATGTGATGTCCAAAAGGTACAAAACACACTGATTCCCTCACCTCTCGTGTAGTGAGTTGCAGCCTGAGGTCACAGTCCAGTTTATTGTCAAAGGAGCAGATCAGATTGTAATGAGACAGTTCTGAGAGAGTTACAAGCCTGTAGGTTATCAGAGTCTTTATCCCCTTAAAATCAGTACTGGCCACAAAACTAACACTAATACACACTGCTGTGTTTTGCTGAGGACTCTTGTTGTTGTTGCCATTTCAGTGTTGAACACTGGTGTAGCATTTACTGTGTTTCTTTATTGGTGTTTGAAAGATTGAGAGTGAGGAGTTTATTTCAAAGAGTGAATAACGAATCACTCTGAATCATAACATGCGTCACTTACTGATGTTTCTCACTGTAGCTTTTGTCATATTCCCGTCAACAGCCTGACTCGAAATCTGCAAAAATGCTACAAAAATAAGAGCCTATTGTTCTTTCAGCCGTAGTCATGTCTCATGACTGATATACAGGTCTGTCTGTTCAGTGCTCAAACAGGCGATAAAGGTTGTTTGAAACTATAAAAATATAATAATAACTGAATTTATTAGGTTTACTGTCTGTTGTCTGTTGCTGCAAACAAGTAGTATAAATATATGACTATAAAGCAGATATTTTTTGCTTATAAGGTTTTTTCAGGGCATAACTGCTGCCTGGGACACTAATTTTGAGCTCTGAGTGTAACACCACCGCTCCACCACTAGGGGTGTTTCCTCCCTCATTTATGCCTTAAATCTGGGCTCGTCATCAAAGCAGGATCAGATGATGTAATGATAGGGGACGGGATGTCAGAGCCGTGAAGGGCCTGATGACACAATATTGAGACCTGAGTGAAGAACAGCTCAGAGTGAAACAGACCAGAATAACTCTTTATACTGTAAACTGAGCTTCTCGCTTAAAAGTGGGCTCTGATTCATCTGCAGTCACATAAAGACTCATACGTTACTCACACAGTGTAGCTGTTACAGCTCTCTCTGCCCCTCTCTCTCTCTCTCTCTCACTCTCTCTCTCTGTCTCTCTCTCTTTCTCTGTTTCTCTTTTCCATTTCTCTCTCTCTCCTGTCTCTTTTTTACTTTCTCCCTCTCTCGCCTCCCCCTCTATCTCACTGTCTCTCCTTTATCTGTTTCTCTATTTTTCTTTCTCCCTCTCTCCCCCTCTCCCTCCCTTTCTCTCTTTTTCTCTTTCTCTCTCTCCTGTCTCTCTCCTTTTTCTTTCTCCCCCTCTTTCTCTTTTCTGTTTTTTTCTCCCTCTCTCTCCCTGTCTTCCTCTCTTTCTCTCTTCCTCTCTTTCTCTCGCTCTTCTTTCTTTTTCTCTATTTATCTTTCTCTCTCTCTCTCTAATTCTTCTTTCTAATTCTCTACCTTTATCTCTTTTGACTTTCTCTCTTTCGCTCTAACTCTGTCTCTGATCGACTCTATTACTCTTTCTAACCGTCTCTCTCTCTCTCTCTCTCTCTCTCTCTCTCTCTCTCTCTCTCTCTCTCTCTCCGTCTTTCTACCGCTATGTCTTGAGCTGTCTGTCTCTCTCTCTGTTCCTGTCTCTGTCTCTTTCTCGCTGTCTATCTCTAACACTCTGGGTCTCAGTTTCTTTCCCTTTCTTTTCTCTCTCTCTCTCTTAACTTAGTCTCTAATCAAGTCTCTTACTCTTTCTAAACTCACTCTCTCTCTCTCTCTCTCTCTCTCTCTCTCTCTCTCTCTCAAGCTGAACATACTCTGCGGAACTAATAGCAGTTATAGAGTTAATGACGGTGATAATGATGATGAAATAATAACGATAATGAAATTATGAGAATCAGGATAATTAAATAAATATATTAAATAATATATTTATATTATATTATACTTAATATAATAAATTTGAAATGCGTAGCAAGCCTATAGTCATGACCCCTCTCTCTCTCTCTCTCTCTCTCTCTCTCTCTCTCTCTCTCTCTCTCTCTCTCTCTCTCAGGTTCTGGTATTCCAGAGATGAAGACTATTCTGAGAGGAGTCGTATTGAAGGAGTATCTCACATTAAAAACCTTTGTGGCCAAAGTCATTGGCCTCACCTGTGCCTTGGGAAGCGGGATGCCTTTAGGCAAAGAGGTACACACACACACACACACACACACACACACATACATACATACATACATACATACACACATACACACATATATACACAAACACACACATATTGTGTACAGTATGAGCAAAGTACTTGAATTAGTGGTGTTATGGTTCTGAAAAACAATATCTGCAGTTCGACTCATGTTGCTGATGACACATATTAAAAGAAGTGATGTGATCACGCTTGGGTATAAAAGGAATACTTTGACAAATCGCTGTCAGTAAACGCTGTTCGTCGCTGCATCCACAATGCAAGTTAAGACTGTACTATGCACAGCTGAAGCCACATATTAACAGCATCCAGAAATGCCGCCGACTTCTCTGGGCTTAACTGAAATGGACTGATGCGCGGTGGAAACGTGTTTTGCAGTCTAACGAGTCAACCTTTCCGGTTGTTTATGAAAATATCGGACGTTGTGTTCTTCGGGCCAAAGAAAAGGACCACCCACATTGTTAACAGCGTGTAGTCCAAAAGCCAGGGTCTGTCATGGTGTTAGTGGGTTTAGTGGAAATTCTTTATTTATAGTATCATCACAGTACACTGTAAACAGCACGATGGGCAAGAGGGCTCATTTAAATATTACAGTCTTCTGTAATATCATTATTGCAAAGGCCAATATTGTGATAACTATTCACTAATAATAAACCTATGCAGATCTCTAAATAACACACACCAAAGCAGCGTTACTGAACTTTATACTGTGCAGCACACTAATCCACACACACACACACACACACACACACACACAACCACTGTGCTGTACACTTGTACTTCCACTCACTGGCCACTTTATTAGAAACACCTACCTTGTGCTTCCACTCACTGGCCACTTTATTAGAAACACCTACCTTGTGCTTCCACTCACTGGCCACTTTATTAGAAACACCTACCTTGTGCTTCCACTCAATGGCCACTTTATTAGAAACACCTACCTTGTGCTTCCACTCAATGACCACTTTATTAGAAACACCTACCTTGTGCATCCACTCACTGGCCACTTTATTAGAAACACCTACCTTGTGCTTCCACTCAATGGCCACTTTATTAGAAACACCTACCTTGTGCATCCACTCACTGGCCACTTTATTAGAAACACCTACCCTGTGCATCCACTCACTGGCCACTTTATTAGAAACACCTACCTTGTGTTTCCACTCACTGGCCACTTTATTCGGAACACCTACCTTGTGCTTCCACTCACTGGCCACTTTATTAGAAACACCTACCTTGTGCATCCACTCACTGGCCACTTTATTAGAAACACCTACCTTGTGCATCCACTCACTGGCCACTTTATTAGAAACACCTACCTTGTGCTTCCACTCACTGGCCACTTTATTAGAAACACCTACCTTGTGCTTCCACTCACTGGCCACTTTATTAGAAACACCTACCTTGTGCTTTGACTTAGTGGCCACTTTATTAGAAACACCTACCTTGTGCTTCCACTCACTGGCCACTTTATTAGAAACACCTACCTTGTGCTTCCACTCACTGGCCACTTTATTAGAAACACCTACCTTGTGCTTCAACTCACACACACAGTTGCATTGCACTGAACCTTTTACCAGCACACTAAATTTATGTATGATTTCACCCCCCCCCTTATACTGTACAACATACTGCATTTATGCATGAGGTTCTCTCTCACACACACACATACACACTCTCGCTCGCTCAGAGATGGAGAGACATTAAAGAAGGCTGTGAAGCGTCTCTTTCTCCCCACTGCTTCAGGCATCTATCAGAAATATATCAAAGTGAAAATGTTTTTTTTTCCTTCTCAGTAAATGTATCACTGTAATCAATAATACATTTCTGCCTGCTTCCTTTTCCGTCAGTAGGAATGTTTTTTATTTCATTATGGTTAGAGGAATACATATGTGTTCTAATAATGATATTTGTATTTAATCCATATTTGTATATTTTAACACATGCTATATTAGTTACTTCTCCTCACTGGCCACTTTATTAGAAACACCCACCTTGTGCTTCTACCCACTGGCCACTTTATTAGAAACACCCACCTTGTGCTTCCACCCACTGGCCACTTTATTAGAAACACCTGCCTTGTGCTTTCACTCACTGGACACTTTATTAGAAACACCTGCCTTGTGCTTTCACTCACTGGCCACTTTATTAGAAACACCCACCTTGTACTTCCATTAATTGGCCACTTTATTGGAAACACCCACCTTGTGCTTTCACTCACTGGCCACTTTATTAGAAACACCCACCTTGTACTTCCATTAATAGGCCACTTTATTAGAAACACCTACCTTGTGCTTCCACTATATGGCCACTTTATTAGAAACACTGAAACGTTAAGCGTATGAATTACGTTATTAAGTGGTGAATGTGTTTGTGTTTTGTCTCCAGGGTCCGTTTGTACACATCGCGAGTCTGTGTGCTGCCCTGCTGAGTAAGTTTATGTCTCTCTTCGGGGGAATTTACGAGGTAATTAAACACTTTTTATTTAATTTATTTAATCTGTGTTTACAGAAAAGTAAAAATCTGACTGTGTTTGTAAACGTAACGAGGATGATGATCAGTAAGTGAAGCGGAGGCTGTGTTGGTCAGAGGTGGTGGTCGAAGATCTGTCTGTGTACTGATGTGAGATGTTTCCTGAGTTTGTGTGGAAAATCCAGAGAACCGTACTAGAATCAGCAGAAACGAGTGCAGTGACCACAGAGAGAGACGGAGCGAAGAGAACGAGAACAGTGCCTACGTTCCCTCTCTCTCTCTCTCATTTCTTTTCTCCTTCTCTTTATCTCTCTTTCTGTCATTTCTTTCCTCTGTTTCTCTTTTCATTACTCTCTCTTTTCTCTTCATGTTACTTCTCTCATTCTCTCTCTCCTTTTTTGCCTCTCTCTTCCTTCTGTTTTCTTTTTCTCACTCTTTCAGTCTCTCTTCCTGTCTCTTTTTTCTTTGTTTCTCTTTTCTTTCTTCACTCCATTCTTTGTGTCTTCTCTCTCTCTCTCTCTCTCTCTCTCTCTCTCTCTCTCTCTCTCTCTCCCTCCCCTTTTTTCTCTTTTCTTTCTTCTCTCAATCTTTCTCTCTTTTCTTGCCTCTTTTTTTTCTTCCTTCTTTCTCCCTCTCTTCCTTCTCTGTTTTCTTTCTTTTCTCACTCTTTTGCACTCTCTTCCTCTCTCAGCTTCTCTTTTCTTTCTTCACTCTGTCCTTTCTCTCTTTTCTTTCTCCTCATGCTTCTCATTCTGTGACTCAGTTCTCCATCTCTCTTTTTGAGACTCGTGTTCTTACTGTATTCTCTCTCTCTCTCTCTCTCTCTCTCTCTCTCTCTCTCTCTCTCTCTCTCACCCCCACACTTTTTTTATTATTTATTTTTTCGTTGGTTTGCTGTGTGGAGTGGAATGCTGATTTAGTCACTGCAGCGTTGCGGAGTCGCCTTTTCTCTGCTTCTCTCGGCTTTTTCTCGAGTGCGCCTGAGTGTGTGTTTGTGTGTGTGGTGTATGTGTGTTTATGTTTATGGTGTATATATGTTTATGTATATGGTGTGTATGTCTGTGTGTACGGTGTATGTTTATGTATATGCTCTCAAGGCTTCCATTCACTTTACTTGAATTTCACAGTTGATAAATATAAGAACGCCTTAAGAATTGTTTGTGAGTTTTGCTGCCAGCAGCTCGTTTCCATCTCCGTACCCATGCCTCGTGTTTGGCCTGGTGGTATTGCAGTGGGACTCTCGGCCTGGTGCTTGCGGTTTGGTATCAGCTGCGTGGGCTAATGCTGCTTCCCCTGGCCCATGAGGCTTGGACGCTGGCCTAGTACTGCGTCTCTGGCACATCCTCCGTTAGTGTATTTTAGTAAATTGGACCATAATAGATTCAGCCTCATTTGCGACATACACATTAGGGCTGCGACTAACAACTGTTTTCATAGTCGAATAATCTGTCGGTTACCAAAGCGACTAATCAACTATTCAGATTATGAATCGCACAGTTACTCAATGGATCTTATTTCACTGTCAGCTTTTAAATCTAGTTCGAAGTTGTTTTGGTCTTAACTAACAGTGAAAACAGTGAAGATAGAAGTTTTGATATCCATTTTTTTGTCAAAGTTTAAAATCAAGGAAGTGGCAGTAAAATAGTACAGAACTACAGCAGTTGTCCCTTGCTGACTGGCTAGCTAACTAGCAAACTAACTTACTGAGACTAGTCTTCATCGTCCAGAGAGCCAACGTGCCTCCTCTTCAGGTGCTCCAGCGTAACTGCTGCGCTGGCATGCCAGCCAAGGTCGGCTTCGCAAACAGCTTCGCAGTGCACAACCTTTTTGGCCGAGTTAAGAGTGAAATGCTGCCACATTTTGGAAGTTTTTGGTAGTGAAGGTGTTGCCATTGTGCTGTTGTTCACTTCACTCCAGTAAGCGAAAGCAGTCAGCGCCAAAAACGTCACGCGACAACGTCACCAACTAATCAGCAATTCGTTGGTAACTAATTTGCGATTTTAGTCGACTACGGGCCCCGATGACAGCCGGCGGGAAGGCAGGTCTGCACACGCCAAGGGCCGCAAGCGACAGTGGGAGGAAGACGACAGCCACGAGAGGCATGAAGGCACTGCACGAGTCTCCAACATCGCCTCCCGGGCCCCTCCTCTTGTTCCATAGTAAGGCCGATAGATTATGCCTCACATTCGATCCTTGCAGCCAAGCTGGGGGGCAGGGGGCGGTGACGAGGAGGCGGAGGGGAGTCAGATTCTGCCGTGGAGTAATTTGGCACAACACCAGTTTGTCCATCACTATTCAGTAGCAGTCGTGTAAATTCTCAAAGGTTGGGCTTTTGAAAGTTACTCCAAACAGCAGGGTACAGCAACACCTCTGATCCTGAATCAACCCGAAGGAGTCTTATCGCTCTCAGCAAAGTCACGGCTGCTTTTACTGTAGAATTAGGCCCCTCTATCCTTCGTATTGGATCCACGTGCTTGGTCAGAAATGTACGAAATCCCAGGTTTGCCTGTTATGTTTGGAGTTGTGGCACTGAGGAATACAGTAAAACACCTTAAAGCTGGACAGTGCCATTTGTTTTGGTTCGACCAGAAATTAAGTTACCTACTAACAGAAGCTGAGGGAAGTGAGAACCCGGAAATGTGAAAAGGGTTCAATGATTACTGTTAGATCTTGCTATCCAAGTGGAGTTGACCAATTAAAAATCAGTCTTTTTAATGAGGTGGGAGGGTCTTTAAGTCACTACAACTGCAGGGTTTGACTCCCTGCATAGGAGGTGACATCCCTGCTCAGATATTAGGTGCAATTCCTGACGCTACATTTCCTCCAGTTTAATTATGTCACTCTGGTGCTTTGCATGTAATAGAAGTAGATGCGTTCTGTTATCACAGTCCTTAACGATATGATTAGCTTGGAAAATTGTATCACAATTACGACATAAGTACTGTTTATCATGCAGCCCTTTAAAGTGTCAAATGAAGTAAATTTTGTCTGTATTTGTAAATTATTAACAATAATTGCAATTTCCTTACCAACATTTAAAATGTTTGAAAGGTTTTTTGCTTAAAATGCTTAAGATGGAAACCTGTCTGCTGTATGTGTGTGTGTGTGTGTGTGTGTGTGTGTATATGTGTGTGTGTGTGTGTGTGTGTGTGTGTGTGTATATGTGTGTGTGTGTGTGTGTATATGTGTGTGTGTGTGTGTGTGTGTGTGTACTCATCACTCTTTCTCTTTCCTAATTCTCTGCTCTCTAAGGATCCTAACCTGATTGGCATAGAGGTAAGGTGGTGTGGCCAGCAGCTCTAGGAAAGCTCATTTTTCCATAAGGCACTTCATTAAAACCCTTGAGAGTTACTTTGAATGTTCTGGTTCAGATTACAAATTGCTTGGTTTCCACTGACCTTCAGAATTGCGCTAGGAATTGTTTGTGAATTTTGCTGCCACCATCTAATTTGAATCAGTCGAGTCAATCAAGAAAACTCTATTGCTTTATGAACCAAACTGATTTATGATTTATTATCTGTGACCTACACTGATGAGCCGAAGCAGTATGACTCATTATGACTCCCAGATGAAGCGAAAAACGTTGATTAGTTCATAAACAGTGGCACCTGTTGAAGCCTGGGATGTATTAGACGGTAAGCGAACAGTTGGTTCTTGTATTCAAGGTGTTGGATGTGGTTGAAGCAAAAAGGCGTGACGACCTGTATGACTTTTAAACAGCCAAATCATTATGGCCAGATGATCTCAAAACGACAAGCCTTGTCCCGGTCAGCATTGGTGAGTACCTACTGACAGTGGTCCAAAGAGGGACACACCACCCCTGACAGGGTGTTGAGCAACCATGGCCCATTGATGCACAAAGGAAACAAAGTCTTTCTCATCTGGTTTCAAACGAGGGAAGAGCTACTGTGGTACAAGTCACCGAAATTTCCAATGATGGTTATGGGAGGAATGTGTCACAACACACAGTGAATTGCTGCATTTGGAACTGCGTAGTCGCAGACCGGTCAGAGTACCCTTGCTAATTCTTCCCACTGTCGAAACAACGGGCATCCGAGCATCGGAACTGGATTCTGGAGCAATGAAAGAAGATAGCCTAGTCTGATGAGTCCCATTTTCTTTTCCATCCCATGGACAGCCGGGTTTGTGTGCGAAGTTATGGCACATTACCATGTTAACATCATTTTGGACCAGGTACCCCCTCATTGCAGAGGAAATTTCTGATGACAGTGGCCTCTTTCTGCAGGGTACTACACCCAGTCCCACTGCACAAATTTTCCGGAATACTTTGAGGAACATGACAAAGATATCAAAGTGTTGCTCTGGCTTCCAAGATCCCCAGATCTCAATCCAGTCGAACATCTCTGCGATGTTCCGGAACAAGTCCAATCTGTGATGGCTCTGCCTTACAACTCACAGGATCTGCTGCAAACGTCTTAGTGCCAAATACCACAGGGTGCCTTCAGAGGTCTTGTAGAGTCCTTGCCTTGACAGGTTGAAGCTGTTTTGCCAGCCCACGGAGGACCAACAGTATATTAGGGAGGTGGTCATAATATGACGGCTCATCGGCATATAATTACCTGATGCTGTGTGAAGAGGAATAAAACCCTAACAAACGGAATAACTTCAAGTGACAAAGAATTTTCTCCTCGTAAATAAGGCAGGGGTTACCATTGCCTACTTTCTTTTTTCGGAAAAGTGCAAGCAGCACAGAGAAGAAGAAAAGTGCTTTTGTCGAGGATGTCCGCGGGACAGTTTGTGCTGCTTTTGGAAATGCACACCAAAGGTGATGAAGCAGAGGACAAAACTAAACCTTTTGACGTTTGTTACAAGTTGCTAAGACAACTGTCAGGTAATCCTGTGTGTTGCTGACCACAGAGACAATAGGGAGTGGTGGAGTGAGTCTCCAGTGAAAGTCTTGAACAAAGAGGCAAGTAAGATAATGTTGGATTTTTGACATGTGAAAAGTCGCATCTGGTGTGCAAGCATGGCCTTAATGTGATCCTGCTGGTCATCACTCTGGGCCAGAAGTTCCAAGTGCAGTGCAAACTGTGCCTAGATGTGACCACAATAAGCACCACAATGTGCCTTCAACACTCGATTTACTAAGTTTACTGCCTATTAAGCAAACTGTGTGTAGCCCCGCCCACTAACTTTTTTTGGACAGCAATGATATAAACTGATGCAAAAAATAAAACATTCATTTAGGCTTGTGCACCTGCATCGTGCACAACATCTGGGCAGAATGCATTGAATTTTTGCCTGAAAATGTACAACGCAAAATGTTGTACATTAGGGCTTCTATTTTATTTCTGTAGTATGTTTGTGATCTGATTTAGGGATGGAATCAGAAATCCAATTTTTGCCTTAAATATTTAAATATGTTCTGATTTTAGGGGCATTAGTTTTCTAAAATTCATATATTATTTTGCAAAGAAACTGAGGGCCTCAAATCTGATTTCCAATCAGTCTCCGAAATCCACCAGGGGGCACTCATCATAAATTATCAAGTGACCCCAAAAGCACGTGGTGTTTTAAACCAGTGATTCTTGGACTGGGGGTCTTGTCTTGCCTATTACTGTTATGTTTATGACATAAACGAATTGCCTTGTTCAGAGTGTCAAATATCCCCAAACAATGCTAATTAAGGCCAAAATAAATTCCCTCCGTTTAGCTTTATCTTTTGTGATGTTAGCAACCACCTGGAACACTTGGTAGCACTACTTGACAGGTGACTACATAACAGTTATAACATCTTACATAAATGCTTCATAACATGTTCATTAATGTTCAAATCAGCATTCATAAAGCATACGTTTTATGTGATATTTATAAGGACTACTATACTGTCATTTTATTGAGAGACTTTTTCAATATAAAAGTCCTCACTTTTACCTTACTTTGAAAAACTATATTATTTTCAGGAAAATGCCTCATTTCTGGACAGCCAAAATAAAAATGACCTCTGGTCATTAAGTGCTTTGATACTTAGGCACACCACCATACTAAGATTCAGCCAAATCATTGTTCCTAAGCATATTTATGAGCAATGTACTGTCCATGCAGTAAAGTGACATGCAAAGCAACAAATCCTTGAGAAAAAACAGATAATTTAAAAGAAATGGAAAGTATAGGTGACGTGCCTGAGTGTCAAAACACTTAATGACCAGAAGTATTATTTTGGCTGTCTAGAAAAGAGATGTTTTACCGAAAATTGTCTAGTTTTTCAGAATGAAAAATAACTATTTTAAATTTGAAAAATGTATCTCAGTAAAATGACAGTTCGTATTAATATCATGTGAAACGTACGCTTTATAAATGTTGACTTAAACATTCACGTCAACATCTCGGCCGTGGCCGAGATCCTGGGTTCGTATCCCAGCGGCGCCTGGTGTTTAAACTTTTTAGGGGGCAGTCGTGGGCTGGAGGTTGGAGAACCAGCCTTGTGACCGGAAGGTCATTGGTTTGATCCCCTAACCTGACGGCACATGACCAAAGTGCCCTTGAGCAAGGCACCTAACCCCCAACTGCTCCCTGGGCGCTGTGGATAGGGCTGCCCACCGCTCTGGGCAAGTACGCTCAATGTTTACTTAAGATGTTTACATAAGATGTTTATTAATGTGTTATGTAGACACCCTTCAAGTAAAGTGTTACCGACACTTTGGGTGATGCAGCCGAGGCTTTAGTCAGTCTAATGGACGTTTACTGCATTCCAGTGTACATTTTTTCTTTGAATTCGACAAATAGTCGCATGTCAAATTTGATTTCGACAGCCTTAATCTGATGTACTACAGATTACAGTTACTTTTTTATGTTATGTAATGCAGCTTCATGTATTCTGTTAATACCAAAGTCTGCTCATTAAGCACTCTGAAGCAAAGTAGTCTGTTATCCCAGCCGAAGAAATTCAAGGCTTATTCCCACTTCAGTGATCAAAAGAATTTGCCTGTTAGGCCAGGAAAAAGGGTTGAGTAAGTCTTTTTTTCCCGAAATGTGAATGGGCTCGTGTTCGGCGTGTGCTGAAAAGTGCACTTCTGTTTCTTCCGTCGCTGTATCCTCTTGGTAACGTATGGGAAATAAGCCCGTATCCGCCTCCTAGCTGTCTCCACCTGTCTCCTCCAAAATATCCTCATGAGAAGCCACCTGTTCAGCTTGAGTTTCCCCAGCATATTTCACGACAACAGTTATTCATGTGCCCGTTTTGCGCATATATTATCGTCTCCCACATGTGTATCCGGTCCCGGGAGTTTAGAGTTATTCTGATTATAAACAGGCCTCCGTCTAACTGCTGTTTCTGCTGACGTTCTTAAAGGAAGCCGTTCACGTCTTTTAGGTCCCTAATCGAAATGTAGGCCTGCTTTTGAAAAGCAGAGTTGATGCATAACCGGCTGTAAATCAAATGGAATATGTAATATCACATATAATATCTCTACCACTTTCTGCGTGATCCTTCCACGTCCTCCAGTACCTCCAGAACGGCAACGTTACAGGAGAAGGCAGAAACGTTCTTGCCAGTACGTTTTTTGCCTACACTGTATATTTTTGCCAGTGTATTGTGGGAATTTTATGCAACCTGTTTAGATTAGCTTTACTTGTTTTAAGTCATTTCATCTAGCAAACTTGTCTTATTCCATTGACAGTTTCATATTAGCTTGTTTCAAGCATTTATTTCTTGAGCAGTTTAATAAGTAATATTAAAAGATTATATAATTTTTTTGAAGCAGATATTTTAATATGTAGGCTGCCTTCAGTAGTTGGGGGATGCCTCATTTTATTAAATGTAATATATTTATTTTATTTTATTTTATGTATGTATGTATTTATTTATTTATTTATTTGTCTATCCTGTAATGTTATTTAATTATATTTATTTACTTATTTCTTTACTCATTAATGCATTATTTTATTTATTTTCTAATTTCTCTACTTATGTTTTTTTTTGTTATTTTATTTATTTACTTATTTCTCTACTTATTTATACATGTATTATTTATTTTATTTTATTTCAGTTTATTTATTGACTAATTTCTCAACTTATTTATTCACGTATAAGTTTATTTATTTATTTTATTTGTTTACTAATGTCTCTACTTTATTTATTCATGTGTTATTTGTAATTTTATTTATTTACTCATTTCTCTATTTATTCATGTATTATTATTTTTTTCACTCATTTCTCTACTTATTTATGTATTTATTTTATTTTATTTTATTTTAATAAATGTCAAAATATTTATCTTAAGTGGTCCTCAACCCATTTTTTACTGCTGTCACCATTGGATTTCTTACTTGCTTCATATTTTTTTTTTTATTATTTTTAAAACATTTTTTATTTTATTTAAAAATTAAGAGAAACTTCATTAATAAGCCCTCATTTCAGTATATTCTCACCTCTCTATGGCTTATTTTACTGCTTCCATTTATTTTATTATTATTTAGATTTTTAAATCATTTATTTATTATGTAATCAACCTGTGTTCTTCTACACGAGATGAGATAATAATAATAATAATAATAATAATAATAATAATAATAACAATAATAACAATGATGGATCATTCACAGCACTGCAGTGACCCTGACGTGGTGGTGGTGTGTTAGTGTGTGTTGCGCTGGTCTGAGTGGATCAGACACAGCAGTGCTGCTGGAGTTTTTAAACACCTCAGTGTCGCTGCTGGACTGAGAATAGTCCACTAAACAAAAATATCCAGCCAACAACGTCCTGTGACCACTGATGAAGGACTAGAGGATGAACTGCGTAGCTTGATGAGCTAAGTGTCTCTGACCACCACGAACTGTGTAGCTTGATGAGCTACTGTCTCTGACTTTACATCTACAAGGTGGACTGACGAGGTAGGAGTGTCTAATAGAGTGGACAGTGAGTGGGACACAGTGTTTAAAAACTCCAGCAGCACTGCTGTGTCTGATCCACTCGTACCAGCGCAACACTCACTAACACACCACCACCACATCAGTGTCACTGCAGTGCTGAGGATGATCCACCACCTGCTCTGTGGGGGTCCTGACCACTGAAGAACAGGGTAACAAAGTATCAGAGAAACAGATGGACTACAGTCTGTAACTGTAGAACCACAAAGTGCTCATATATGGTCAGTAGAGCTGATAAAGTGGAAAGTGAGTGTAGAAACGAGGAGGTGGACTTAATGAAGAGGCTGGTGAGTGTGTGTGTGTGTGTGTGTGTGTGTGTGTGTGTGTGTTATATAGAGCTGATGCTGCCTTTAAACATCAAATCCACACAAAGCCCTTCTAGCTGAGCTGGAGAAGAGCTGAAAAATGAGCTTATATATAAGCAGAAAAAGGGAGTGTGTGTGTGTGTGTGTGTGTGTGTGTGTGTGTGTGTGTGTGAATTCTCTGGGGTAGTAGATGCACAACTGTGTTTGCATGGGAAGCGTTTTTCTGTTCATCTTAATTACGTTTGCCTTTACGTCTCTCTTTGTTTCTCATGTGAAGAATAAATTAGACGCTGCACGTTTATTTTGGATCCTGAATTAATTAAAGACACAGGTGTGTGTGTGTGTGTGTGTGTGTGTGTGTGTGTGTGTGTGTGTGAGTGTGAGCATGCGTTTTGAGTAGTTGAGTTGTACCTGCATGTTTCTGTATTGTGTTTTTCTGTGTTTGCATGTTTGTTTGTGCGATTAATAAACAGTAAACAGTGCATGTTTAATCTGCACGTGTGCTGTTTGTTTAACAGAATGAGTCTCGGAACATAGAGATGTTGGCGGCTGCGTGTGCGGTGGGTGTTGGCTGCTGCTTTGCTGCCCCCATTGGAGGTGAACACACACACACACACACACACACACCACACACTCACACACTCTCACACGCCCTTATAATGCCTGCTCAATCAGAGCTGTGCAGAAACTTTTTGAGCATTTAGCACTGGTACTATAAAAAGTTGTGAGTGTTGTAGCACAAATTAATTGTATGTAGCACTGAGATAAAATGCTTCTGAAACAGTATTGATCTCAGTAAATCTAACACATTCCCCAAATTAGCTATTAGCACTAGCATTTAGCTATTAGCACTAGCATAGGCTAAAGATATTACATAGGCTAAAGACTGAAAATCGTCGCTGTCCAACGAAAACCATGTTTTGTTTCATTTCAACACTCCAGCTGTCCTTTACGTTGTGAATGGACCAATAGAAACGCTCTAAAATCACTTGAAATGAAACTGCTTTTCCATTAAATTACCACTACGTACACCAACCACTTGGCAACCACTATGTACACCATAGCAACCGCCTAACAACTGCTTTGCAACCACTACGTACACCATAGCAACCGCTTAGCAAGCGCTTGGCAACCACTACATACACCACAGCAACTGTCTAGCAACCACTTGGCAAACGTACACTAGCACCCACCATACGCTGACAATACACACATAGCAACCACTAGCAACTGCTTGGCAACCACTACGTACACCAAAGCAACCACCTAGCAACCGCTTGACAACCACTACATACACCATAGCACCCACCTATCAACCGCTTGACAATGACTACGTACACTATAACAACTGCCTAGCGACCACTTGGCAACCACTACATATACCATAGCAACCACCTAACAATTGCTTGGCAACAACCTAGCAACCGCTTGGCAACCACTATGTACACCATAACAACCACATAGCCACCACTTGACTACCACTACGTACACCAAAGCAACCGCCTAGTAACCGCTTGACAAGCACTATGTACACCATAGCAACCACCTAATGACCGCTTGGCAACCACTTAGTACACCGTAGCAACTGCTTAGCAACCACTTGGCAACCACTACATACACCACTAGCAACCGCCTATCACCCGCTTGGCAACCACTATGTACACCATAGCAACCTCTTGGCAACCACTACATATACCATAGCAACCACCTAGCAACCGCTTTGCAACAACCACTTTGCAACCACTTAGCAACGCATGGCAACCACTACGTACACTATAACAACCGCCTATCGACTGCTTGGCAACGACTGCATACACCTTAGCAACTGCCTAGCAACCACTTTGCAACCACTACATACACCTTAGCGACCGCCTAACAACCGCTTTGCAACCATTACGTACACCATAGCACATACTAATATGCTGTATGTGTTTGCTTAGCAACCGCTTGGCAACAACTACGTACACCATAGCAACCACCAAGCAACCTCTTGGCAACCACTACATATACCATAGCAACCACCTAACAACCACTTTGCAACCACCTAACAACCGCTTCGCAACCACTTGTCAACCGCTACGTAGCGGTTGACATGACATAGCTGAGCAACCTGTGCTAAATTAACATAGATTTGACACACTTCTGTGTGGTGAGTTGATGATTGCATGAAAAAAAAAAAAGTATTCAAACAGTGCCCCAGCAACGGTTGCTATGGAACATTGCATTTGTGGGCGGAGCATGGATAGTTCAATTTATGGTGTCCACTGTATGTGTGTGTTTCAGGTGTTCTCTTCAGTATAGAGGTCACTTCCACGTTCTTCGCTGTGAGGAACTACTGGAGAGGCTTTTTTGCTGCTACTTTCAGTGCCTTCATCTTCAGAGTGCTGGCTGTGTGGAACCGAGATGAAGGTGCAAGAATGTGGAATCGTTTCTAGCGCTGTTAATTATTTTAGGGCCGTCAAAGTGAATGCTACAAAATATTAATGCCTCTGTTTTTGACAGCTTTAACACATTTTTCTAGTTTGATCCTTCTGTCCATCCATAGTAACCCAGGCTGAAGCCCAGCTGTTCTGCCTGCACTACTACGGAAGGCCAATAGCACAATAATTATTATTAATAATAATAATAATAATAATAATAATAATGATATTAATAATGATTCACAGGAAGAAATAATGTTATTGAATGTTATAAGTACATTCTGTTTAAGCTTAATTTGTCCACTCATATAGCTCTAACACAATGCACTGCATTATTATTAGAACTTTATTGTGGATGTTAACTTTAATATAACTTAGGTGTTTGTTTTTATAGAACTTAAGTATTACATTATTATTATTATGACTCATTTCGTATTTTTTAGAGCTTCATTCTGGATGTTTATTTTATTATAACTTTGGATGTTCTAATTCAGGATTGCTAATTTTCTGTTCTGGATATTAATTTTATTGGAACTTCATTCTGGACGTTAATTTTATTAGAACTTTATTCCGAATGTTCATTTTTATTAGAACTTTATTCTGAACGTTAATTTTATTACAAATTCATTCTGAACATAGATTTTTTTTCAGAACTTCATTCTGAATGTTTATTTTATTCGATTTGTAATCTCAACAATCATTTTATTAGAACTTCATTCTGAACATAACTTTCATTAGAACTTTATTCTGAACGTTAATTTTATTCGATTTTTAATCTGAACGTTAATTTTATTAGAACTTCATTCTGAACGTTAATTTTATTAGAACTTCATTCTGACCATTGATTTTTTTCAGAACTTCATTCCGAATGTTTATTTTATTAGAATTTTAATCTGAACAATAATTATATTAGAACTGATTTTAATTTTCGTTGTAAGTTCATTCTGGATGTTAACGATATCAAACTTTAATTCAGGATGTTTTTATTATTACTTCATTCTGCTTTTTAATTAAATTGTAACTTAATTCTAAATATTAATTTTTTTAGAACTTCTTGATGTTCTTGATGTTCTACAACTGTCTCAGTCGTTTTAGCTCTGTTTATCATTGTGGACACATCTAAAATTTAATTTTTACAGCTTCCTACAAATTTTTAAATCAGCAATAATAAACAGTACAGCATATCAGTGCTGTCGGAAGAAAACCTTGTATCTCCATTTTTCAGTTTTTGATGTAATTTGAAAATACATGTTACCCTTTACATTCTTTGTAAATTTCATGAAGAATGGACCAAAAGAAACGGGCCAAAATTACTTGGGGGAAAAAAGTCTAGTTCCATTGACTTACATTAAAAGTAAAGTAGGTTTTTTGTTTCTTCTGTAAAGTTAACATTTTGGAGATACAAGGTTTTCTTCCGACAACAGCGATATACACAGTCGTAATGGTGAGCGGTTGTTCTTCAGTAAGAGGGCACTAATATGCTGTATGTGTTTGTGTGTCTAGAGACCATAACTGCTCTCTTCAAGACTCGATTCCGGCTCGATTTTCCCTTTGACCTCCAGGAGCTGCCAGCGTTTGCTGTAATTGGGTAAGTCTAGTGCATATATTTGTTCAGCATGTCTTCTTTTAATGATTAACTCAGTTAAAATATTATCTAGTACTGTGACACTGATATAAACAAGGGTGCTGTAAGGTAAAATAGTACCCAAAGAAAACATAGATTTCCAGTTTTGGGCCAAAACTTTGGAGTTAATTTTGTGCCACAAATTTTGGATAAAATAAAATCCACAAGCAAAATATTGAGTATCAGAATGTCCAAAATATGTTCAAATACAAATAGAGTTAAAACAAACTTGTTTCCAAATAGATTGCTACTCATTTTCTCATTCTGATATAAAATTTAGCAAGGTTTTGCTTTAATTTGATTTTGCTGATAAATTTTTTGCTTCTAGAATCACTCTTTTGCTTCTAAAATGTTTCTTTTGCTTCTGACTTTTGGCACTTTTTAATTGGGGGTGGGTCTTAAAAGAGGGCGTTCACCTGCACCTTCTATTGGTCAGCTGATTTGGAGCGACAGGTCTTTTGAACACATAGCCACACCCACTCGTGAGTCGTGATCTGCCTCGGACATGGCGGAGCACTTCGTACTGTGTGTAGTGCTGCCAGAGAGGATTGCGCTGACCTATCCAGCATTATAAGCAATTTTTTTTTGTTTTATTGATGTAACACAAACTATAGCTAAACTTAGCGGTGCCATCTTTCAGGGTTGTAGCTGCTAGCGCTAACTAGTCTAGCAGTGTCTGCCAAAGCGCTAACTAGGTAAGATTTGCTTCTGGACACCTACAGCGCCACATAGTTTGGACTATTCCTTGCCTTGTAACACCTGATCCAGCTCATAAACTGATAATCGAGCCCATCATGAGCTGAATCAGTGTGTTGGGTCAGGAAATCATTGAATCTGCAGTGCTGCGGGTCGAGGGAAATACCAAAGCACTGGCTAAACACAGTGTAAAGAATGGAAAATGCCACTGATTACTGCCAGCTACGAGTTACTTCTAACATGAGAAAGCTGACAGGCCATGTTGAATCTCTACAAAGTCGACATGTCATGGTTGGCCATTATGTTCTGGTGCTTATTAAGGCTGTTATGTCAGTCTTTGCTTGTTTCTACCCACAGAATCCCTCCTGAACCTCGACATGCCCGTTTACAGAATGTGCTGCTCCAAATCACTGTCTTCACATTAATACACTGAACTAACTTTTAGATATTTAAACAGTTTAGTTTCATTACCAATATGACTTGCCAAGTTAGCCCTAAAGCAGGCATGTCAAACAGGGGATCCTCCAGGCCAAAGATTACCGTTTACCCTCATCTAACGCTGAAGGTAATGAAGGCCTTGCTGATAAGTTAATGAGCTGAATCAGGTGTGCTTATTGAGGCACTGTGCTGAAGTCTGCAATGTTTTGACCCACAAGGACTGGAGCCTGACACATGTGCCCTAGAGGACACTGCTAGGCCAGTTGGCGCTAGCATCTGCAAACTCAAAAGGTGGTACAGCTTTGTTAATTCATGAACAACTACGTTTATGTTCGCCAGTGCCAAAAATAAAGTTATATCCCTTTAAACAGGTCAACACAAGACCCATAAACACGTTCCATTAATAATTGTAAAAGAATATGACACATCGCTCATAACGTCAGATATGCCAGTAAAACGCTGCACTCACAGCAGCACTCAGTCCAAGGTGTTCCACCATGTTGAGGGCAGTTCACGCCGAATGGCTATGTGTTCATAAGACCTGTCACTCCAAATCAGATGACCAGTAAAAAGTGCAAGTGAACACCCTCTTCTAAGCCCCGCCCACTGTTAAAAAGTGCCAAAAGTCAATAAATGAGCAATAAATTTATATCAGAATGAGAGAAAATGAGTAGGAATCTTTTTGAAAAAATAAGTTTGAATTAACGCTCATCATTGCATTTGCAACATGTTTTGGAATTTGATAGTATTTTGCTTGTGGTTTTTATTATTTTATAACTCCATACAAAACCTTCTCTCAAAATGACTGTAAAACAGTCAAGCTGTGTTTTCATCACCATCTCGCATGATACCTTTCTGTGAGGGAGCTGTGAGGCATTAAATTGTTTAGATGTCTGGTTCCTATCACCACCACTGTGAACTGTTCTCCACCCATTCAGCCTACAGCAGTTTAGCTCCGCCCATTCTGCCTGCAGCATTTTAGCTCCACCCATTCAGCCTACAGCATTTTAGCTCCACCCATTCAGCCTACAGCAGTTTAGCTCCACCATTCAGCCTACAGGAGGTTAGCTCCACCATTCAGCCTCAGCAGTTTAGCTCCGCCCATTCAGTCTACAGCAGGTTAGCTCCACCATTCAGCTACAGCAGTTTAGCTCCACCATTCAGCTACAGCAGTTTAGCTCCACCATTCAGCTACAGCAGTTTAGCTCCACCATTCAGCTACAGCAGTTTAGCTCCACCATTCAGCTACAGCAGTTTAGCCCCACCATTCAGCTACAGCAGTTTAGCTCCACCATTCAGCTACAGCAGTTTAGCTCCACCATTCAGCTACAGCAGTTTAGGCCCACCATTCAGTCTACAGCAGTTTAGCTCCACCATTCAGCTACAGCAGTTTAGCTCCACCATTCAGCTACAGCAGTTTAGCTCCACCCATTCAGCTACAGCAGTTTAGCTCCACCCATTCAGCCTGCAGCAGTTTAGCTCCACCCATTCAGCCTACAGCAGTTTAGCCCCACCCATTCAGCCTACAGCAGTTTAGCTCCACCCATTCAGCCTGCAGCAGTTTAGCTCCACCCATTCAGCCTACAGCAGTTTAGCTCCACCCATTCAACCTACAGCAGGTTAGTTCCACCTATTCAGCCTACAGCAGTTTAGCTCCACCCATTCAGCCTACAGCAGTTTAGCTCCACCCATTCAGCTCATGTTATGTATTATATAAATTCATCAATGTCAAGACGTTGGTGTATGTTAATTATCTTAGCTTCTTTATGCACTGAAATGATTTGCATATTTAAATTCATTTTGAGAGAGCTGCCTCAACTCTGCCTCGTCGAGTCCCAGAAATTGTCCTTTTATTGTGAGACTCGAGTGAAACCTGTGCTTGTTTTCTCTGAGGGAACTTTTCCTCCTTTCGCTCAGAGTGTGTACAGTGTTATTGTCTATTAAAGCAGGAAGAGAGACGCAGTGTGTCTGATCTGAATGGTGTATAATACGCAGATTTAATAAATGGAGAAGATAATTGCAGAGCTTGAGGTTGAAGACATCAGAATCCTTCTAAAATCCTTTTTACTTTTCTTGTTCCCCTCTTTTAGTGGACGTTGTCCTCCTACGCTGCCTTAGAGGATCAGCGCTGTTTAATCCTGATAAAAACACTTAGTCTTCCAAAATCTCTCTCTCTCTCTCTCTCTCTCTATGTATGTATATATATATATATATATATATATATATATATATATATTTTTTTTTTTGCCTTTCTTTTTCTCTCTCACACACTCTTTCCCTCTGTATCTTTCTCTCTCGCTCGCTCTCTCACTATCTCTCTCTCTCGCTCTTGCTCTCGCTCTCTCTCTCTCTCTCTCTCTCACTCTCTATCATTGCCTTTCTTTCTCTCTACCTCTCTCTGTATCTTTGCCTCTCTTTCACTCTCTTTCTCTCTCTCTCTCTCTCTCTCTATTTTTGCCTTTCTTTTTCTCTCTCACACACTCTCTTTCTTTCTCTCCCTCTCTCTCGCTCTCTCTCTCTCTGTCTCTCTCTCTCTCTCTCTCTCTCTCTCTCTCTCTCTCTCTCTCTCTCTCTCTCTCTGGATTATGCAGTGCGTATTTTTCAGTTGCCGCAGACCCCCCGCCCCCCCTCTCCCCTTCAGCTCATGTTATGTATTTTATAAATTCATCAATGTCAACACATTGCTGTGTGTTAATTATCTTTGCTTCTTTATGCACTAAAATGATTTGCATATTTAAATTCATGAGCCCCTGAGGGGGCTGCCTCGACTCTGCCTTGTCGAGTCTCAGAAATTGTCATTTTGTTGTGAGACTCGAGTGAAAACTGTGCTTGTTTTCTCTGAAGGAACTTTTCCTCCTTTCGCTCAGAGGGAGAAATGCCTTATTTGGTCACCGTGTTCAGGCTGAGTGATTAATGAGTCAATTTTTCCGTCACTTGACAGTCCTAATTAAACTACGTGACGTCCGGAACCCAATATAGAGTTTGTTAAAATGAAATATCGTTAATTAGAGCCGAGTTTGTCCAGATTATTCAGTTAATTTAATTCAAACATTAATCAGGAGGCGGGTCACGTGACTCACTCAATTCATTTGTTCAAACATTAGCGGTGAGGACTGAGCTTTATTATGAACTGAAGAAGGTGGGTGAGTTTTTAGAAATTACTGCCCTTTTTAATCTTCAGTTCATCGTAGATCATAATAAATGGATTGCAATGGTTCACTGAGGGTCACTCTTTTACTGATTGGTCATCATGCTGGACGTAAGTGACCCTTTAAGCTTTAAAAGAAGACCTAAGTAAACAATTCTGATTATCCCAAATGTAGTCGATCAGCCAAGACATTGGTTTGCATCTTCAGTTTTACACTGGAGCTACGAGGCTAATGTAGCTAAGTAATGCTTATAACTGCCGATTAGCATCGTGCTAACTTGCCTGAATCATTGCCTCAAACAGCGTTGAGTTGTTTTAGCCTAAATATGTTATTTTTCAGGGGGAAGTGGCACTTTTCAGTTCAGAACCGTAACCCTCAGACTCATCGGTTTGACAGAATTCATGGTTTTATGTGTTTTTTTCCTTCGTTTTCATTCTAAAATCCTTACTACTAGCCTAGCCACTGATCTGTAGGCTAGTCAGGACAGCTAAGCTAGCATTAGCGTAACTCTTACCTCAAAGAGAATGAAAAGAAAAACAAAGAAACAGGGATTCTGTCTTTATTCAGCTCAAAATCTACACCAGAGACAGGTTTTTGCTGTCAAACAGAGAAAAGAAGCCAAGCTTCTTTATAGCTACTTAGATAGCTAGCTTGCTAACTTTAGCTTTACCTTGTTGTCCTCATCTGTCAAGTCATGTCTGTTGTTTGTGTAACCCGTTCTCTTCATTATAATCATGATTTTCTTCACTTATGAAATAGTATAACATGCCGTTATCTACAACAGTGGACAAAATTCAGGGCTCAATATGACGGCTGCTATTTTGAGCTCTGAAAACAGAGATTCTGTCTATATTTAACCCAAAATGGACACCAGAGACAGGTTTTTACCCTCTCAGCCAGAGAAAAGAAGCCTGAGGTAAAGATAGCTAAGTCGATAGCTGTTAGATAGCCATGTAGCTTGCTAACTTTAGATTTTAATTTGCTGTCCGCCTTAAACTGTCGAGTCATTTCTGTCATTTCAGTAAGATGTTCTTTTCATTATGATGCTGATTTACTTTACTTACTATGTTTGTTTCTTTAACATGGACAGTACATATTAATCCACATCATTTCATAAACATACCAGATTTAGCCAAATGGCTGATTTTCATCTGTGTATGAAGAAACTTACCACAGTTATACGACAGCAGTGTTTGGCTTCCGAGCAGTAATGTTAGCTCTCTTGCCTTTCTTCTGTTTTCACCAGCTAGCAAAAAACCCTTCTGTAATAGAATAACATGCTAGCGTTATCCATGCTAACGTTATCAATAACTGTGGACAAATTCAGGGTTAAAGGTGACAGCTACTATTTTCAGCTCTGTGACACATGTTTGGCCTTTTTTAATGTCTTTTAATGACTGACTACTAGCCTAGCCACTAATCTGTAGGCAAAAAAACACAACTAAGTAGTATCAGTGTAACTCTTACCTCAGTTCTCAAACAAAATCGGAAAGAAAAAGATTCCGTGTGTATTTAACCCAAAATGGACTCCAGAGACAGGTTTTTACCCTCTCAGCCAGAGAAAAGAAGCCTGAGGTAAAGATAGCTAACTCGATAGCTAGACAGCTATGTAGCTTTCTGTCATGTGAGTGTGTCATTCTTTTCATTATGATGAAATATGAGTCACTTTACTAATTTTGCTTGTTTATTAAACACAAACAGTACACATTAATCCACATCATTTCATAAACATACCAGATTTAGCCAAACAGCTGATTTTCATCTGTGTATGAAGAAACTTACCACAGTTATACGACAGCAGTGTTTGGCTTCCAGCAGTAATGTTAGCTCTCTTGCCTTTTTTCTGCATTTACCAGCTAGCAAAAAACAACCTTCTGTAAAAGAATAACATGCTAGCGTTATCTATGCTAATGTTATCTATAACAATGGACAAAATTCAGGGTTTAAGATGACGGCTACTATCTTTAGCTCTGTGACGCATGTTTGGCCTTTTTTAATGTCATTTAAGGACTGACGGCTAGCCAGACCCTAATCTGTAAGCTAATACATACAACTAAGATAGCATTAGCAAAACTCTTATCTCAATTATCAAACAAAATTGGAAAGAAAACTGAGATTCTGTCTGTATTTAACACAAAATGGACACCAGAGACAGGTTTATACCCTCTCAGCCAGAGAAAAGAAGCCTGAGGTAAAGATATCTAAGTCGATAGCTGTTAGATAGCCATGTTGCTTGATTTTAATTAGTTTGACCTTTTTAATATCATTTAATGCCAGTTAGCTACTTTAGCCTCGTAGCTCCCAGCGTACGTAGAGAAATAAACACCTCAGACACCAAACATCTCTGTCTGATGGGGTCAGGAGAACATTTTCCTGAGGAAAAGCCAGCCTGTGTTTTGGATGTTGGTATGCAGGTCCACCAGCATGACCATGGGTGACCAGCTAAACCTGCACCAGACCAGCATAAACCAGTTCAGACCAGCATAGATTAGACCACCATGGAATTCATGCTGGTCGGTGATGTTTGTTTCAGCTGGAATGTCATGACTCAACTTACACTTCACTTCGCAGCCGTTTTCTCGTCCCGCAGCCGCTCGTTTTGATTGTAGCAGTGGGTAAACACACTCTTGTTCTGCGTTAATTGCTAATTGTGCTCAACAGCCGCGCGAAATGCGTCCCGTATCCGCTCTGTCTGTACCCAACAGATGTTGGATGTGTTTGAATTCCCAACACTCTGTCGCTCGCTCTCCAACTCACTCTCTCTCTATCCTTCTCTGTTCTGTTTTCCCCTAATGAGCTCTTCATAAAGGTTTCTTCTTATTACCTATTCATTATTCATGAGCGTTTTGCCTCATTCATAATACATATGCATGAGTTCATTAGCATACTGCTACTCCGCGAAAGCTGCTGAACTCTGGCGGGAGTTTCGCTTAAGGATTCTAATGAAAGTCCTGCTTTTCGCTTCTTTGGACAGCAACAATATACACTATATGGACAAAAATATTGGGACACCTTCACATTATTCCTACAGGAGCTTTTTAATGAGATCCCGTTCTAAATCCATAGGCATTAATATGAAGTTGGTCCCCCCTTTGCAGCTCTAACAACTTCCACTCTTCTGGGAAGTTTTCTACAAATGTTGGAGAGAGTCTGTGGGAATTTTTGTCCGTTCATCCAGAAGAGCATTTGTGAGGTCAGACACTGATGTTGGACGAGAGGGCCTGGCTCTCCGTTCTAGTTCATCCCAAAGGTGTTGATGGGGTTGAGGTCAGGGCTCTGTGAGGGCCAGTCAAGTTCTTCCACACCAAACTCACCCAGTCAGGCCTTTATGGAGCTGCTTTGTGCACTGGGGCTCAGTCATGCTGGAACAGAAAAGGTTCTTCAAGGTTCTTTAAGGTTCTTTGAAAGTTGGAAGCATATAATTGTCCAGAATGTCTTTTTCTGCTGAAGCATTAAGATTTCCCTTCACTGGAACTAAGGGTTCTAGACCAACCCCTGAAAAACAACCCCATATCATCATCCCTCCTCCACCAAACTTTACAGCTGGCACAGTGCAGCCAGGCAGGTAACCCTTTCCTGGCATTCGCCAAACCCAGACTCGTCCATCAGACTGACAGATAGAGAAGTGTGATTCATCACTCCACAGAATACGTTTCCACTGCTCCAGAGTCCAGTGGCGGCGTGATTTACACAATGAACTGTCCACCCCAGAGTCCACTTAAATATGTTTCGAATTACTTGAATCATAAGAAGCAGAAAGTGCAACTTCTAAGACTGAACTTTGAAGTTGTGGAAAAGTATCCCTGCAGATTTCTTTGAAAAATTTAAAGCAAATCCCATAAAATGAACATAAACTGTAATAAATGCAAAAGATAGACGCTATAAATGCAGAAAAAAGTATTGTATATTTAATTTTTGAGGCCTTTTCTGCCTCCTCCACTGTACTTTACTTCAAAGCACGTTTTTCTTACACAAGTGTTCTTCTCATGATGTCTGTACAGGATAGCGAGTGGTTTTGGTGGAGCGCTGTTCGTCTATCTGAACCGACTGATCGTCCAGTTCATCAGGAAACAGAAGGCCATCAACAAGTTCCTCATGAAGAAGTGAGTCTGTATGTGTGTGTGTGTATATGTGTGTGTGTGTGTGTGTGTGTGTGTATGTGTACACACGTGCACTAATCTCTGTTTGGGATGAGTGCAGCATCCTGTTCTGCTTGGCATTTGTGTGTGCACGTGTGTGTGTGTGTGTGTGTGTGTGTGTGTGTGTGTGTGTGTGTGAGGAGAGAGAGAGAGAGAGAGACACAGTGTGTCTCTGTGTATTTGGCAGTGGTTCACTGAGTTGCCAGTATGAAGGCAGGAAATCGGTGCTGTGCACTCTGGGTTGCGTCCCAATCCACCCTTTAGGGAGTGAGGGGAAGAAGAGAGTGTGGTTTGTATGTATATTTAAGGAATGGTTCAGTGAAAAAACTAATTTAAAAATGACCCCAGAAATTTTTAGTGTCCAAATTTGCTTCATTAGTCTAGCACTGGGGCTACAAGGCCAGCATTGCTAACAAACAATAGAAGTCAAGAGTCACCCAAATCTTTTCTGTAAATACATCCTCAAAACATCTCTCAAACGCTCAAAATGCATCTAGGTCTTTGTTAAGGTTGTGCAGACTTTTATTTTTATAGCTCACAGCAAGTCATACTGTGTCCTAAACCACATTAAATGACCTGTATTTACAGAAAAGATTTGGGTGACTATTGACTTCTAGTGTTAACTACATAGATCCAGTGCTAAACCGAAAACTAAATGTAAACACCAAACATGTCTTGGCTTATTGACTACTGCCAGGTGGAGTGCAAAAATTGTTTGAATTTGATTTTTTTTTTTTGCCAAAACATTCCTTTAATAAATATGCACTCCATAAATATTTTCAATTTTCAATGTATGTTAATATTTTAAGATTTTATTTAATTTCTATTGATCTATCATGAATGAAATGGTGCAAAAAAAGGTACATGGTTTCAGTGTGACAGAGGCAAAATGTACTGTATATGATTTTTTTGTGTGCAGGCGTTTGTTGTATCCTGCTTTGGTCACCCTACTGATCTCCACCCTGACCTTTCCCCCAGGATTCGGACAGTTCATGGCAGGCCAGGTAACACACACTCACACTCACAGCTTGTGTTTGCTTTGTCTAAAGCCTGGTCCTTTAAGAGGGTGTCTATCACAACCTTCAAACATTGCCCCCCTCCCTTGGACTCTACATGGTCTCCTTGTACCCTAGACAGTCCCCTCGAATGGTGCCCAGCCCTCCTATACAGTACACCTCAGCCTCATTTCTCACTTCACAGGCCTCTTGTTCCCCAGATAGTGCACTCAAACATTACCCAGCTCCCTTGTACACTACATAGGCCCCTTGTGCCATGGACAGTCCCTCAAACATTGTAAGTACATAGTCTTCTCAAACATTTCCCAGCTGCCTTGTACACTACACATGCCCATTCTGCCATAGGTAGCTCTCTCGCATAGCGACAAACCCTTTTGTAGACTACATTGGGTCCTTTTCCCCTAGATAGACCCCTTCCAACATTGCCCAGCCCCTTTATACGATACAGAAACCCTTCAATAGCCCCCTCAAACATTCCCACCTTCCTTGTACACTACATAAGCCCCTTGTGCTCTAGGCAGCTCTTTCAAATAGAGTCAGACCCTTTTACCCCTAGATAGACCCCTTCCAACATTGCCCAGCCTGTTTATTTGAGAGACAGACTTCTGAATAGCCCCCTCAAACATTACTTAGCTATATTATATACTACATAGACCGTTTGTTCTCTAGTCCCCTCAAAATGGTGTCCAGTCCCCTTGCTCCTAGGATAGACCCCATCAAACACTGCCCAGCCCTAGATAGTCCCCATTGATATTGCCCAGCCCTTTTTTAAACTACATAGCCGCTTGTTCCCTAGATTGACCCCCTCTAACATTTGCATAGCCCCTTTCTACACTACACAGCACCTTGTTCCCTAGACTGGCCCCCTCTAACATTGCCCAGCCCCTTTTTACACTACACAGCCCCTTGTTCCCTAGAATGGCCACCCTAACATTGCGCAGCCACTTTCTACACTAAACAGCCCATTGTTCTCTAGAATGGCCCCCCCTAAAAATTGTGCAGCTCCTTTCTGCACTACATAATCCCTTTTTCACTAGAATGGCCCCCCTAACATTAGACAGCTTCTTTCTACACTACATAGCCCCTTGTTCCCTAGACTGGCCCCCTCTAACATTGCGCAGCCCCTTTCTACACTAAACAGCCCATTGTTCCCTAGACTGGCCCCCTTCTAACATCGTGCAGCCCCTTTCTGCACTACAAAATCCCTTGTTCCCTAGAATGGCTCCCCTCTAACATTGCCCAGTCCCTTTCTGCACTACATAGTCCCTTGTTCACTAGAATGGCTCCCCTCTAACATTGCCCAGTCCCTTTCTGCACTACACAGCCCCCTGTTCCCTAGACTAGCCCCACTGTAACATTGCACAGCCCCTTTCTACACTACACAGCCTCTTGTTCCCTTGATTGACCCCCTCTAAAATTGTGCAGCCCCTTTACACGCTACATAGGCTGTTTGTTACCTAGATAGACCCTCGTCAACATTGCGCAGCCCCTCTCTACACTACATAGTCCCTTGTCCCCTAGATAGACCCCCTCAAACATGGCTACCTTTTATGCTACATAAGCCCTTGGTTTCATAGTTCACCCCCTAAAACACTACCCCTTGTTCCCCTTGTGCACTGCTCACTTGAAATCTAAGCGTAGTCTCAGTGGTGGATTACCTCTTTAAAGAACAAAAGTGATGTCAGTGAGGCAGAGAAGGAGACATGCAGTAAAGAGATGGAGAAGACAGTGATGGAGGGATGGAAGAGATGAAAAGTAGAAAGAGGGAGGAAAGAAGAGGGCGATTGTACATCAATTAGCTGATAAACAGGGGGACTGAGCATTATTCCCTGGCAGAGTCTAGAGGATGAGTCACCAGACAGAAGAGGCAGAGAGAGAGAGAGAGGAGGCATGTGTGGCTCTGCCTACAGCGACTGGGACCTGCTGCTGTTAATACTTCTTAATAAGACGGTACAGAAGAACAGCGAGGCGTTCATTAGTCTCCACTAACCGCACATACACCATCTTCACTTCATAACCCGGCCCACGCGCACTTAGCGTGTGGACGGAGAGACGTGTGCAGAGCTTTGTTTTAATTTCCATTGTCTTCTTTTATGTCCTTTCTTTCTTTCTCGCTCCTTTCTTTCTCTCTAATGAGAGTGACTCAGACGCAGCCTTTTCTCAGGGAAAATAAAGCCCTCAATAAACTGCTATCGTTTCAGAAGCTGACTAACATGAAGTCGGCCTTCAAACTCGTAAACAAACATGTGGACTCTAAATATTACTTATGCAATGGTGTCAAACAATTAATAGCATTAATTTGTCCAGTTAATTGTGATTAATTAGTCTGATTTGCTCAAATTTGACCTTAAAGAACAGATAATATATTTTGGCGGACAAAATAAGCTTTATTAGTCTAATTCAGTAACTCTCTTTCACATGAATCTAAACATGAAATGAGGATTCGAGTCACTCAGACTCGAGTCACGCATTGACCTGCTTTGTAACTCGACTTCATTTCGATTCATCGTCAATTCACACTCAGTTCACTTAACTGACTCTTTACTTGACTCTTTCCTTGGCTCAGACTCTAGCTTAACTGACTCTTTATTCGGCTCAGACTCTACCTTAACTGACTCTTTACTCGGCTCAGACTCTAGCTTAACTGACTCCTTACTTGGCTCAGACTCTAGCTTAACTGACTCTTTACTTGGCTCAGACTCTGGCTTAACTGACTCTTTACTCGATTTGGGCTCGTGCTTAACTGACTCGTGACTCGACTCGGACTCACGCTTAATTGACTTGTGACTTGACTCAGACTCTAGATTAACTGACTCTATACTCGAATTTGGACTCACACATAACTGACTCATTTCTCTACTAAAGCATTTAATAAACTGCTATCGTTTCACAAAGCTGATTAACTGAAGCTGAAGTCAGCCTTCAAACTCGTAAACAGATATGTGGACTCTAAATATTACTTATGGAATAATGTCAAACAATTAATAGCATTAATTTGTGCAGTTAATTGTGATTAATTAGTTTGATTTGCTCAAATTTTATCTTAAGGAACAAATAATTTATTTTGGTGGACAAAATAAGATACCAATTCAGTCACTGACTCAGACTCGAGTCACATGTTTACCTGCTTTGTAACTCGCCTTCATTTAGATTCATCATCGATTCACACTCAGTTCACTTGCGACTGAACTCACGCATAACCAGTTCATGACTTGACTTAGACTTGCGGACTCTAGCTTAACTGACTCTTTACTCAGCTCAGACTTGCGCTTATCTAACTCAGACTTGTGCCTAACTGACTCATGACTCGACTCAGACACATGTTGACCTGCTTTGTAACTTGACGTGGACTCACTCTTGGGCTCACTTACGACTGGACTCACACTTAACCGATTCATAACGTGACTCAGACTTGCGCTGAACTGACGCTTTACTTGACTCACACTCTAGCTTAACTGACTCTTTACTTGACTCAGACTCTAACGTAACTTACTTGATTTGGGCTCGTGCCTAACTGATTCATGACTCGACTCAGACTCCAGCTTAAATGACTGTTTGCTTGACTCAGACTCTAGCTTAACTGACTCTTTACTCGATTCGGGCTTGTGCTTAACAGACATATGACTCGACTCAAACTTGCGCTTAACTGACTTGTGACTTGACTCAGACTCCAGCTTAACTGACTCTACTCGAATTTGGACTTGTGCTTAACTGACCCATTCCTCTACTCGGACATGCACTTAACTGACTCACAACTCAACTCAGACTCATGCTTAACCATCGCACTTATCTGAATTGGACTTGTGCTTAACTGACTCATGGCTTGACTCTGGCTCGCGCTTTACTGATTCATGATTAAACTCAGACTTGCGCTGAACTCACTCTTCTCTCAGACTCTAGCTTAACTGACTGTTTACTCGACTTGGACTCGCACATAACTGACTCGTTTCTCTACTTAATTGATTAATATGATTAATAGCAGTAGTTTGTACAGTTAATTGTGATTAATTAGTCTGATTTTCCCAAATTTGACTCGCAAGATTTTTTTATTTTTTTATTTGAAAGTAATGTTTTTATTATATCTGTATTTTCGTGGACAAAATAAGCTTTTTTACTCTAATTCAGTGACATTGTTTCATTGTGTGAACACAGAATTGACATGAAACTAGACATGAAATGGGGATTCGAGTCACTGACTCAGACTCAAGTGACTGGACTCACGCTTAACCGATTCATGACTTAAATCAGATGCGCTGAACTGACTCTTGACTCAGACTCTAGCTTAACTGACTCTTTACTTGGCTCAGACTCTAGCTTAACTGAATCTTTACTTGACTCAGACTCTAGCTTAACTGACTCTTTAGTCAACTCAGACTTGCACTTATCTAACTTGGACTTAACTGACTCATGACTCGACTCTGGCCTAACTCACTTGTCACTTGACTCAGACTCTAGCTTTACTGACTCTTTACTCACCTTGGACTCGCACTTAACTGACTCACATGTTGTCACATGTTGACCTGCTTTGTAAATCAACTTGGGCTCACTTGCGACAGGCCTCACGCTTAAATGATGCGTGACTTGACTCAGACAGCTGAACCGCCTCGTGACATGGCTCAGGATATAGCTTACTCGATTAGGGCTCACACTTTACTGACTCAACTCAGACTCTAGTTTAACTGGCTTGTGATTTAACTCGGACTCTAACTTAGATGACTCTTTACTCAACTTGATTCAGACTCATGTTTAACTGACTTCTTACTCCACTCGGACATAAACGTAACTGACTCAAGACAGGTGCTTAACTACCTCGCAACTTGACTCAAACTCGCATAAATGACTCATGACGACTCAGATTTGCGCTTCACTGACTCACAACTCATGTGTAGCTAATTCATGACTCAGACTCGCACTTAACTGACTCATGACTTGACTCAAGACAGGTGCTTAACCGACTCACGACTCGACTCAAACCCATCAAGTCATGAGTCAGACTGACTGACTCATGACTCTTGACTTGACTCAGACTCGTGCTTTACTGATTCATGATTTGACTCAGACATGTGCTTAACTGGATTTGCACCTAACTGACTCGAGACTCGACTTGGACTCAAGACTTAAGACTCAATAGGTAGTCTCAGCCAGAGGAAGAAAAGGGTCATTGAGTTAGGAGACGGTCTACAGCATGTAAATACCTGCCTATGTAGTGGACCTACAAAGTCTGTGGACAGAGTATCTTTGTCTACCTTATCTCGCTCTCATAACTGCACTCTTTCACTGTTTGAGTCAGTTTTTTTTAATCTCTGAAGAACTTTCCTCTTTCCTTCTCCTGGTCCTGTGCATAGCTGACCCAGAAGGAGTCGCTGGTCACTCTGCTGGATAACCGGACGTGGGCCAAGCAGGGCATCGCTGAGGAGTTTGAGTACATCGGCCACGCGGCCGCCTGGAAGCACCCTCAGGCCAACGTCTTCATCACCCTCGTCATCTTCATCGTCATGAAGGTAGGTGGTCACCATTCCACTCAGAAAAAAGAGAGAGTCTGATTCATAGAGTCAGAGAGTCATATTCAGAGAGTCAGATTCAGAGAGTCAGATTCAGAGAGATTCAGAGAGTCAGATTCAGAGAGAGAGTCAGAGAGTCAGATTCAAAGACACAGTCAGAGAGTCAGATTTAGAGAGAGACTAAAAGAGTCAGATTTAGAGAGAGAGAGAGTCAGATTCAAAGAGAGAGTCAGAGAGTCAGATTCAAAGAGAGAGTCAGTGTCATATTCAGAGAGTCATTTTCAGAGTGAGATTCAGAGAATCAGATTCAGAGAGTCAGATTCAGAGAGAGAGTTGAGAGAGTCAGAAAGTCAGATTCAGAGAGTCAGAGTCATAGAGAGTAAGAGAGTCAGATTCATAGAGAGTGAGAGTCAGATATAGAGAGTCAGATTCAGAAAGAGAGTTAAAGCGTCCTATTCAGAGAGTCGTATTCAGAGAGATTCAGAGAATCAGATTCAGAGAGAGAGAATGAAAGAGAGAGAGCTGTGTGTGATGGAGGGAGTAGGGATGTGTGGGTGGTCGAAAGCAGACGAGCTTGACTTACAACAGAGTGTGTGTGTGTGTGTATGTGACAGAGAGAGAGAGAGAGAGAGAGAGAGAGAGTATATGAACTCCATGAATGTCATCAATACACCACTTCAGAACAGTTATTCTCCGTGAGTGTGTGTGAGTGAGAGTTGTGTGTGTGTGTGTGTGTGTGTGTGTGGTGTGTGTGTGTGTGGGTGTGTATGTGTGTGTGTGTGTGTGTGTGTGAGTGTGTGTGTGTGTGTGTGTGTGTGTGTGTTTACTGTTTGCCTGTCAAAAACAGCAGTTGTGGAGCAACAGCAATTAAACAAACACACAAACTCTCTACCATCTTTTCATCTCTCCCTCTCTCTCTCTCTCTCTTTCTCTCTCTCTCTGTCTCTCTGTCTCTCTGCAGTAATAACAGCAGTGACTGAGCTTAGGTAATTTTGCTGGATTCAGCCCTTCATTATAATGAGCGAGGTTAATAATAATTACAGTAGTAGTTATAATAATAATAATAAATAATAATAATACACTTTACAGTGCAGGTAATAATATCAGTGTAGGTATTTTTTGTAATAACAATGTAATGTTTTGTAATAATAATGTAATACACAACACTGCCACAATATACTACAGTCGTGGTCAAAGGTTTGGGCGCCCCTTCATATTCCACGTTTTGTTGATTTGCGACAGTAAGTTGACACTATTTTTCATGTCTATTTTCAGACATGATTAAGTTTTTTTCTCCTCTCACTCGAGCATCTTACACAACATAATGGTGCTGTAATAGCCGAGAGGGTGTTAGGGGGCGCCCTGGTGGCCACAAGCATCAGCTGCATATGTCGCTTATTAGTTAGAGACGCCACTGAGTTCAGGTTTAATTAAGCTCAGCTGATTTAGATACAGACGAGTTTAAAAACACAATGGAGGTGGATTGAAGTGTGTGTGTGTGTGTGTGTGTGTGTGTGTTTCTGTGTGTGTGTGTGTGTGTGTGCAAGCGTGCATGTGCTGCTTACATCTGCTGGTCCATGCATGAGTGTGTCGCCTTGGCAACCTGAGCAGAACCTGGGCAAAACCTGCCACGGCACAGGAAGTGATATCGTCAGTGTCACCATGGGGACCAGCGGTGTGTGTGTGTGTGTGTGTGTGTGTGTGTGTGTGTGTGTTCTGGTCTTCTTCGCTAAGCTGTTTTATGAGTTCTCAGAGCTCTTAAACCCCCATCAGTCTTAATGACTTCTCAGCCCACGGTGTGTGTTTTGTAAACACACACACACACACACACACACACACACATACACAAACCTGTTGATGTAAACAAGCATGAACTTTAAATGACATACTGTCAGATCAGTCTGGTTCCACTTAAAGTGAAGGTCTCTCTCTCTCTCTCTCTCTCTCTCTCCCTTTCTGCCTCTTTTGTTTTCTCTATCGCTCTGTCTTTCTCCGTCACCCTGTCTGTCTCTCTTTTTTCTCTGTCTCACCCTCCTTATCTATTTTTTCTCTCTTTTTCACTCTGCGTCTCTTTCTGTTTTCTCTATCTGTTTTCTCTCTCTATCCCTCTCTTTCTCTCACTCTTTCACACAATATCTCTATGTCTTTCATTCTTACTCTTTCACTATCTCTCTTTCTGTTTCTGTCTCTTTTTCCTTTCTCTCTCTCTCTCTCTCTCTCTCTCTCTCTCTCTCTCTCTCTCTCTCTCTCTCTCTCTCCTTTCCTGTCCCTCCCACCCCCCCCCCAATATTGATTTTCATTCATATGTTATATATGTTTGTTGAAGAGCTCATCTTGTCTAATCGGCTGGTTTTGCCTGGTTCTGTAAATCAGGGCTCGTCAGATCTAACCTGGGGTCACAGTTCTCCTCAGATCAGTGTGGAAATTTTGGGGAATCGTCAAACAAAAATATTCATAATTATTACAGACGTTAGTAAATGAGCAGAGTGTACAGTCAGCACTTCCAGTGTTTCCACGTGAGATCTTTCTGCGTGACCCTCCCACGTGTCGCGTGATCCTCTTGCTCAAATGCCAATGCGTAGGAGAGAAATATGCGTTTTTGTGTGCAGCGGATAAACGGCGCGTTTAAGCTCCGGTTAATAACACACGGCAAAACGCGTCCGATTTGCGGCTGAAACTGATACGACCCACTCGGCGCATCGGGCCCTGAGTGTGTTACGCAACCATCACTCGACGCCCGCGAACGCTGTGGAACCCTTTCTTGCATAACACACTCACCATTCTCCGGTTACCGGGGACAGAACGGACCGGAACAGAACGTCTGCACGCTTAAAGAGCATGTGTGTGTGTGTGTGTGTGTGTGTGTGTGTGTGTGTGTGTGTGTGTGTGTGTACTGCTCTCCTCTCTAATTATCAGCTCTTGCAGTTGTTTGGATCGACCAATTAGATCAGTTAGCTCATTACCCACAGTTCATTTCAGGATTTTCCTGGCAGGAGGTTGCAGAGTGACACTAATGTGAGCATCTTGCTTGTGCCCTCTAATTAATAAGCCGAATAATACGGCGTTTGTGGCAGAATGTGGCAGAAGTCAGAGACCCTTGATTTATCTCATTTCCAGTAAAAACAGCCATTAAATACAAGTTATTCATTTTCCGGGTGACATGTCTGAGGAGGTTAGATGCAGTTTGAAGACCCCTGCTCTATTGGCAAGGTTTACTGACGTTTTGGAGTGACACTTCCTCTACGTGGAACTTAAATGGGGCAATTTTAGTGCACAGGTTCTATCTATTTGTTGAGTTTAATGTAGTGTGAGAAAAAGAAAAGGTGCTGTAACTTTTGCACAGGCCCCAGTTTGTTTAATTCAGCAGATAAGCAGTGATTGTGCATGAAAACAGACGTTTGTTCCCTGTAGAGCAAGCATGTCAAACTAGGGACCTTCCAAGCCAGAGTACGGGAGTCTGCAGTGCTTTGGCCCATGAGGACTGGAGCCTGACACGTGCTGAAGTCTGCAGTGCTTTGGCCTGCGAGGACTGGATCCTGACACAGGTGTTGAAGTCTGCGGTGCTTTGGCCCGCGAGCACTGGAGCCTGACACGTGTGCAGTGCTTTGGCCCATCAGAACTGGAGTCTAAAACGTGTGCAGTGCTTTGGCCCATCAGAACTGGAGTCTGACACGTGTGCAGTGCTTTGGCCCATGAGGACTGGAGCCTGACACGTGTGCTGAAGTCTGCAGTGCTTTGGCCCGCGAGGACTGGAGCCTGACACGTGTGCTTTGTACTATCTATGTACTTTCTTTCACTTAGAAAATGAACATGTAATTTAACCAAGGGCACCCAAGCTTTTGTACACAGCCATACAAGATAATCCACTTGCACAAAGTTTCCAAAAGTAACAGATAAACAGCACTTTAAAGCTTTCATCTCTGAGAGAGAGGAGAAAATCAAGCTGTTTCAGATCTGAAAACATCCACAGGTGTTTCTGTCCGTCCTTCCACTGTGAGAAAACGACTCAGCGCTGTGGGTCTGAAAGGATGTGTAGCTGTCAAGAAGAACCTCACTTGATTGTGAAATTCAAAGAGTGAGCACACTTGAATGAAGGGTGGTGTCTGATTTGTGTGTGCACATCAGTGAAGGAGTGCAAACGTTTCTCTTTGGTAACAGCGATTTGCTTTGTTATGCAAGGGGTGGGTAAAGTGAGCGATGAACTCAGCGAGGGTCTCTACTCATCCTTTAACGATTAATCTGCTTTTCTCCATCACATCTCATCTACTTGATCTCCTGCTCCGGACTCTGTTTAGACTACACAAAGCTATGTAAGCCTCTATTGCATGATGTTGCCTCAGGGCAACAAACTCATTTTCCTCACTTCTCAATGACATGATGTGTATTTACTGATCATGAAAGGATTAATAGGGAAGGGAAGAGTTTGAACAAACCCATAAAAACGTGTACTTAGTCACATTAGACTCTTTTGGACATTTTGAAACTTCTTTTTGGGATGGTGCAGCTTTTGGACAACACGTTACTGCACCAGACAGTTTCCCTCAGAAAAAAAATTTCATCATTTCGAAATTACGATTTATATCTATTAGAGTGTAAAATTTATTGACTTTACGTTCACTACCATATAAACAATTTGTAGACATTGCTGAAATATTTTTGTTGCCTTGAAGCAACATTGTGGAGTGGATTTAGCAAGTCGTAAACAAAGCGTCGCAGTTGCAAACAAAACAGCCAAGTGAGTCAACAGTGCAGTCATTATATATTTTTTCAGTTTAGGATTATGTTATATTTCGAATCATTTTGGGGGTTTTATCTATTTATTATTTTAAATATTTAAGAAAATGTAGCTTTTCATTTTTATTCTAAATATTCAGACAAAAAAAATCATTTTCTTGACACTCTCATTTTTTTCCATTGTTGCTTCAAGGCAACGTACCCCCAAAAAGATCCATTCACATATTATTATGAATTTATTTATTTTGCTTTTTATTTTAACAGTCAAGTCCATTTTATGCAAAAAAGTGAAAAATTTTATATACATTGCTCTCATAATGCATGCAGTGGGGGTTATGAGGGTTAAAGGACTAGTTTGATGAGAAACTCTCTCTCTCTCTCCCCCGTTGTCTCTCTTGTGTCTCTCTCTCTCTCCCTCCAGTTCTGGATGTCTGCCCTCGCCACTACCATCCCGGTGCCCTGTGGCGCCTTCATGCCAGTTTTTGTCATTGGTAAGTGTGCTGTGTGTTCTTAAACATTGAGCTCTAGTCCTTAATACTCTATGCTGTGTTAGCATGAGGATAGACGATCGGGACTCCTAAGTGCTGCCCCATCGCTGGGAGATCGCAAGTTCGCTCCCTAGCGATGCCACAGCCATCCTTTTTTGGTGGGCCCAATCCTATTTCACCCCTCACCCCCATCACTGAGCCCTACCCCTCCATTTTCAAGTTCATGTCTAGGGGTAGGGTGTCCTGATTCTTGTTGAGATAAAGGGGTAGGGTGAAGTGTTAGAGCTACATTTTTTCAGAGACTCCAAACAGAGTGGAGAAAAAAGGAAAAACAGGCAAGATGGCTGAACAAGAGACCAAAGAAACCCACAAATGTGAGAGTTTTTAACGTTAAAAAGTTACGATAACCACTGTTTTATCTTAGTGTAATGTAGTTTCAGTGTATAATGGTCCTTTTCTTCATAACAAGCATTAAAAATCACTAGTAGTGCTGATGCCTCGGTCTCAGATTTGAGCCGAATGTGATTATCGGTGTGTGTGAATCAGGTGCTGCTTTCGGCCGGTTGGTGGGAGAAAGCATGGCAGCCTGGTTTCCTGAGGGGATCCACTCAGACGGGGTGGTCTATTCTATAGTACCAGGAGGATACGCTGTAGTGGGTACGAACATACGCACACGCGCACACACACACACATGCAGACACACACACACACACACACACACACACACACACACGCTTCTCTCTCTCTCTCTCTCTCTCTCTCTCTCTCTCTGTCTCTCACACTCTGTTACTGTCAGTCTCATGTGCTCTCTCTCCCTTTCTCACTTCTTTCTCTAGCTCTCTCATACTCTCTCTCTCTCTCTGTCTTGTCTATGAATCCTGCTGAGAACATTTGTGTGTGTGTTTGTGTGTGCGCATGTTTCTGTGTGTTTTCCTGTGTGTGTGTTTCTATGTGTGTGTGTTTGTGTGTGTGTGTGTGTGTATGTGTGTGTGTGCGTTTCTGTGAGTGTGTGTGTGCGTGTGTTTCTGAGTGTGTGTGTGTTGTGTGTGTGTGTGTGTGTGTTTCTGTGTGTGTGAGTGTGTTTATGTGTGTGCGTTTCTGTAAGTGTGTGTGTGTGTGTTTCTGTGAGTGTGTGTGTGTTTCTGTGAGTGTGTGTGTGTTTCTGTGTGAGTGTGTGTTACTCTGTGTTTCTGTGAGTGTGTGTATGTGTATGTGTGTGTATGTGTGTGCGTGTTTCTGTAAGTGTGTGTGTGTGTGTGTTTATGTGTGTGCGTTTCTGTAAGGGTGTGTGTGTGTATCTGTGAGTGTGTGTGTGTTTCTGTGTGAGTGTGTGTGTGTTTCTGTGAGTGTGTGTGTTTCTGTGTGAGTGTGTGTTACTCTGTGTGTTTCTGTGTGAGTGTGTGTTACTCTGTGTGTTTCTGTGAGTGTGTGTTACTCTGTGTGTTTCTGTGTGAGTGTGTGTTACTCTGTGTGTTTCTGTGAGTGTGTGTATGTGTGTATGTGTGTGCGTGTTTCTGTAAGTGTGTGTGTGTGTGTGCATTTTTCTGTGAGTGTGTGTGTGCGCATGTGTTTCTGTGAGTGTGTGAGTGTGTGTATGTGTGTGTGTGCGTTTCTCTGAGTGTGTATGTGTGTGCGTGTTTCTGTGAGTGTGTGAGTGTGTGTGTGTGTGTTTCTGTATGTGTGTGTGTTACTCTGTGTGTGTGTGTGAGTGTGTGTGTGTGTGTGTGTGTGAGTGTGTGTGAGTGTGTGTGTGTGTGTGTGTGTGTGTGAGTGTGTGTGTCTCCAGTGATGATTTTGAGCTGCTGCAAAAGAATCTTCATTATCGTTCGTTTTCCGCTTCTCTTTTTATGTTTCTGTTGTTGTTTTGTTGTTTTATCTCTATTCGTTTAGATGTTTTGTTGTTTTATCTCTTTATTCGTTTAGATGTTTGTTGCTTATGTAGTTTGTTTCTCTGGTTTGTGAAAACACTGAGCTAAACCCCCCTTTAGATATTAAATAACCCCTTAACTCTAGGCTTATTCTTCATTCTTCAATTTTAAAGGTGAATTACCTTCATGATTTCTCAATATTTCAGCATAATTAAATGGTTAAGATGTAAACGGTCATTCAGAACGGTTTAGTGTGAAATGACCAATTCAGAGCTGTGTTACAGAAAAACTACAGGACAAATATGTCACAACAGCAAAGAACCTCTGAGTGGACGGGAGCACTACCTTGTACTTCCACTCACTGGCCACTTTATTGGAAACACCCACCCAGTGCTTCCACTAACTGGCCACTTTATTAGAAACACCTACCTTGTACTTCTAGTAACTGGCCACTTTATTAGAAATACCCACCCAGTGCTTCCACTCACTGGCCACTTTATTAGGAACACCTACCTTGTGCTTCCACTCACTGGCCACTTTATTGGAAACACCCACCCAGTGCTTCCATTAACTGGCCACTTTATTCGAAACACCTACCTTGTACTTCTAGTAACTGGCCACTTTATTAGAAACACCTACCTTATGCTTCAACTCACTGGCCACTTTATTAGAAACACCTACCTTGTACTTCTAGTAACTGGCCACTTTATTAGAAATACCCACCCAGTGCTTCTACTCACTGGCCACTTTATTAGGAACACCTACCTTGTGCTTCCACTAACTGGCCACTTTATTAGAAACACCTACCTTGTACTTCCACTCACTGGCCACTTTATTAGAAACACCTACCTTGTACTTCCACTCACTGGCCACTTTATTAGAAACACCTACCTTGTACTTCCACTCACTGGCCACTCTACATTTTCATATTATTTAATTGTCAATAATGCCTACTTATGCCTTTCCCTCTTTCGGTGGGTAGGTGCTGCAGCGTTATCTGGAGCGGTCACACACACAGTGTCGACGGCGGTGATTGTGTTCGAGTTAACGGGTCAGATCAGTCATATTTTACCCATAATGATAGCGGTTATTTTGGCCAATGCTGTGGCTCAGAGTCTGCAGCCGTCCATCTACGATTCCATCATCCGCATCAAGAAGTTGCCCTACCTGCCTGAGCTCGGCTGGGGACACCACGAGTGAGTATCTGTCCATCCATCCCTCTCTCGCTTTATTCATACATCCATCCATCCATTGATTCATGCTTTAAACAAAGGACATGCCACGTCCCCTTTATTAGGAACACACACCTTGTACTACCATTAACTGGCCACTTTATTAGAAACGCCACCATGTTTTCAGCCCCATTCATCATTGGTTATTTTGACCACAGGACCACATTTGTCCAGATATTATGACTGTTGGTCCATTCTCAGCACTGCATTGACACTGACATAGTACTGTGTAGAAGTGTAGTGCAGCACTTTTTACTGACCATTCAGAGAGCAGTTGAGGAGAGCAAAGTGGTCTGTTTTTCTGCGGGGGGGTGGCTCAAACATGTAAGGCAGAACAACACCGATAGGTGGCGTCGGTCACCACTGCCACTGACATAGGGTTGATTACATTGCCGGGGAGACGCCACTGTCAGTCATTGAATTAATGCACGTATATATGAAAATAACATTGGTACATGCTTTTTCCGTGGCATATCTCTAGTATTAGAACAATTTGAGACCATATTGACAGGGGCTTTGACAGCTTGGCATGTTCTGAGGCAAGCGTGTGAAGCGTGTGGCACTGAATTTAAGGCGGAATCGCATTTAATTTAGCACTGAATTCAGGGTGGCAGTGAATTTAAGGTATCAGTGAATTTAATGTAGAATTGCATTTAAGGTAGCACTGAATTTAAGATGGAAGTGAATTACAGGTGTCAGTGAATTTAAGGTGGAACTGCATTTAAGGAGGCACTGAATTTAAGGTAGAAGTGCGTTGAAGTTAGCACTGAATTTAGAGTGACAGTGAATTTAAAGTATCAGTGAATGTAAGGTGGCAGTGGATTTAAGTTAGCAGTTTAAGGCAGCACTTAGCAACACATTACCATCCACCTTGGATACTGTAGCAACCGCCAAGCAACGTTTTAGCGACACTTTCACAACCATCAACAGTCTTTCACCAATTTAAGGTTTTAACGCAATTAGCTGGCTTTTTCAAGCCAACTTGTTCGTTCACGAAACTTAGACACCAAACATGTCTTGGCTCGACTGGATTTGGGGTAAGAAGGAAAAGTTTTTTTTTGTTTTGTTTTGTTTTGTTTTTTGTCAAACTGCTGTTTTGATAAGTAGTTGGGATTGTCATACGAACTCCCTGCTGCTGTTCATTCATGATGGAAATCAGGCCTCCGTGTCCATTCAGGGCAGCGTTTCTGTCCAGTGTAATTGAAAACAGCCACATGCATTTGATTAGAAAGTGTTTCATTGTGCAGATAGCCTTATCTCAGGTTTATCAGCAGGTCCATCTCCTATTGCCTGTTGACGTAGAGAGAGAGAGAGAGAGAGAGAGAGAGAGAGAGAGAGAGAGAGAGAGAGATGTGCTATTTTAGAAGGTTACACGATCAGTCGGTGTCTTGTCCCAATTAGTGTAAATAGACAATCTGCATGTTAATGACGAATTGCACAAGAGCTTTGTGTTACTTAACACTGCCTAGTTACACAATACTCTCTCTCTCTCTCTCTCTCTCTCTCTCTCTCTCTCTCTCTCTCTCTCTCGCTCTCTCTCTCTCTTGCCACCACATACAATGCCACTCAAATGTAGAGAAAACACCACCTTAAAGGGGAGGATCCACCAACAGTCATTAAGAGAGGTTTCATGTAAAATGGTTGATTGTAGAGACTCAGGTTTCTTCACGGTGGTGGTGATAGGAACCAGGGGTCACCATGTCTACAGCTCAAATATAGCCATTTTATTTATGAACCAGAACAACCAGTGAACCTATACGTGTTTTCTGAGTTTTGATGATGGTAAAATAGTGGTACATCTGAAAAAATAAGATTCTTTGGGGACTATTTTGCCTTAGAATGCCTTCATGTGTTTCGCCACCATGATTGAATTATAAAAAAAAACATGCATTATAGGCCAAAAGCTTATAGTAAAACTAGGCCTGTATGATATGGACCAAAAATGCGATGTTCAGTATCAATAAAGCTGTCAGATTTGACAATGGCGATAGGAGAAGCAATAAAGCATTATTAAGATAGAGTGCCTCTGATTGGATGTGATGTAAGTGCAGACTTTTTTGTTTGGATGTGTAAACCGTAATCTAGCTATCCCCTCTTTTAAGCAAATAGCAAAATACAAAATTTCAAAAGCGCCTTTCAACATTGTGCAAAATAAAAAGAAATTAAATAATTACATCAGAAGTCCAAGTAAATTTTTTGTGCACTGAAGGGCTGAGAAACAGTCAGCATGGCTTTTTCTACAAAAGCTACAAAAAAAAGATATTTATATTTATACCAGTACATTTTTCAGTTCAGTTGTTAAATATGTTTGTTGTGACAGTTAAAAGCACTGCCTCACACCTAAAACACAACACTGAGTGTGAGAACAATCTAATAGTTCAGGCATTTTAACGGCTTGTGGTTCAGGATGGAGGAATATTTTGAGCTGTGCAGGTGTGGTTTGTAATTGGCTGTTTAGCCTAATGGTTAAGTTACCTGTCACCTATAAGTAGTGATAACTCCTTATTCGCTAACTTGGTCAGATACCATTGCTACCTAGCAGCACCTTAGCAAACATCTGTGGTACCATAGCAGCCACCTCACAAACACCGTAGCAACCATCTGTGATACCAATGTAACCACCTAGCAACCACCTGGGATACCATAGCAAGGTGCCTAGCAACACCTTAGCAACCGCCTGGGATACCGTAACAATCACCTAGCAACACCTTCGCAACCACCTGGGATACCATTGCAACCACCAAGCAAACACCTTCGCAACCACCTGGGATACCATAGCAACCACTTATCAACATCTTAGCAACCACCTGGGATACTATTGCAACCACCAAGCAAACACCTTCGCAACCATCTGGGATACCTTAGCAACCACTTAGCAACCCCTTAGCAACGACCTGGGATACTGTAACACTTACCTAGCAACACCGTAGCAACCACCTGGGATACCATTGCAACCACCAAGCAAACACCTTTGCAACCACCTGGGATTAAATAGCAGTCACTTGGCAACACCTTAACAACCACCTGGGATACTGTAACAACCACCTAGCAACAGCTTAGCAACTACCTGTGATACCGTAGAAACCACCTAGCAACACCTTAGCAACCACCTGGGATACCATTGCAAACACCTTCGCAACCACCTGGGATACCATAGCAGTCACTTGGCAACACCTTCGTAACCACCTGGGATACTGTAACAACCACCTAGCAACACCTTTGCAACTACCTGTGATCCCATTGCAACCACCTATCAACACCTTAGCCACCACCTTGGACACCATAGCAACCGCCTACCACCTTAACAACCACCTGGGATACTGTAACAACCACCGAGCAACAGCTTAGCAACTACTTGTGATACCGTAGAAACCACCTAGCAACACCTTAGCAACCATCTTGGATACCATTACAACCACCAAGCAAACACCTTCGCAACCATCTGGGATACCATAGCAACCACTTAGCAACACCTTAGCAACCACCTGGGATACCGTAACAACCACCTAGCAACACCTTAGCAACTACTTGTGATACCATAGCAACCACCTATCAATCACTCTGCATCATTCTAGTTTGATCTGTTGCCATCGGCACTCTAATGATGAGTTTATTGCAGAAAGTCGTACCACGATAATGATAAAAATATGATTTATCACGCAGCCCTAGTTAACACTAACGCAAAATACTGTCTCAGGCTTTGGGCAGTGTATTCATAACCATTACGTTTAGGGAGCTTTTAGAGGCATTAAACTCTACAGACCATTCACCACCACTGTGACTCAGGAAGATTCCTAGAACAGAGCACTTTACATCAAACTGCTCTGCATGACTGTTTACATCTTAAAAGACAGTTCTAGATGCAGTGTACTTAATGAAGCAGCCGGTCAGTCTATTCATGCCTGACCTGGCCATAAAAGCTGTTTTTGTGGATGTTATTTCTATATCTCGAGAGAACGATTAAAGATTGTGCGCGCACGTCTGTGTTTGTGTGCATCCTGTACTCTGTAATACGCCGTCTTGTAAGATGTTTATTGTTCCTTCTTTCCTTTTTGTTGTTGTTTTGATGGATTGTCTTTGTGTTTACTTCATTTCGCTCCGTGTCAGGAAGAAAGTAAAGGATGAAATGTTCTGTATTACGTGGAGGTGTGCGTGTCCGAGCGAGCGTCCTCTGGGAGCACTGTGTCTTTGGCATTGCAGGGCAGGTTGGCAACAAAACGTTGAAATACTGCCAGATCCGGTATTACAGGGGGGAGTGTGGGGGGCAAAGGGGGAGGTCTGCGTTCTCAGGAAGTGAGCAGTGTGTGTGACGTGAGAGCAGCTTTCTTTTTTTTGTTGTATGGACAACAAATTTGCTGATGTTGCAGCGCACTTAGTCAGCAGAACGCACACATTCATTCACATAAGTGTATTTAAAGGGGAACTCCACCAACTTTTCAACATTTCTGCATAATGAAATTATTAAGACGTAAAGTCATTCAGAGTGGTTTGGTGTGAAATGCTCAGTTATAGAGACAGAATTGTTCACAGTGGGGGTGATAGGAACCAGATGTCCACCTCTAAAAGCTCCCTCATAGAAAGCTGTTATATGAAATGGTTATGGTTTACTATGGTTTATTTACGTCGACTGAATTATGCATAGGTTTGAAAAATCAGTGGAATTCCCCTTCACTGGTGTTCAAAAGTCTGTTTTTGTCTACATGATGATTTTGTTGGGAATATTAAAAAATGTACAAAATCAAAGATTGCAACTGCATCTTCCATGCTGCACAAATAATTGTTTTAAATTATAATTATTATTGTTTTAATACTGTTATAAATTACTTTATAATGTTACAGCTTAAAACCATTAAAGACAAGTGCTTTAATGCAAGCCCATGGCCAAGGACTCACGGTTAAGGCCGTGATTGAGAACATGCATGGTTGTATCTCGGCTAACTGCTCTAGCAGGCCTTAGCTAGATTAAAGACTATGGAAAATATACACTATGTGGCCAAAAGTATGTGGACACCTCTCCTAATTGCTGAGTTCAGGTGTTTCAGCCATCCATGAAGAGCTCAATGACTTTAAATGAAGCACTTTCATACGTTACCCACCTTTACCACAGGTCATAACGTGGAATTTCTGCCCTGCTAGAGCTGCCCCAGACAACTGTAAGTGCTAGTATTGTGGAATGGAATCAGGGCTGCTGAATGCTGAAGCTTGTAGAGTGTTAAATTCTACACTTTCTACAGTCAGTATTTATTAGCAATGCATCGGTCATCATAAATTATAACAACTACTACTGTTATTACCAATAAAACTAAAAATAATAACAATAATAATAGTATTTTTATTACAATCATTATTATTAGTAGTATTAGTATAAATACATATGTGTCATTTTTCTCTGTCTCTCTCTATAGGAAGTATAACATTCGTGTAGAGGACATCATGGTGAGGGATGTGAGGTACATCACTCTTAACTGCACTTACAGAGACCTGCATGATGTCTTGTTAACAGAACGACTCAAAACTCTCGCGCTGGTGGAGTCCTCAGGTACACACACACACAAACATACAGTACAAATACACTAATTAATTCAAACTAACGGTCGCTCTCATATCTTGATTCTTTATCTGAAGCTCCACTATGTAAGTTTTGGGGATTTGGAGACCTCTCAGGTGGAAATGTGTAATTGCATGCAAAGTGTAGAAGAACATTGTGTAACGTTTCTCTCAAGTACCTCTGCATCACTCTGGGACAGAAAAGGTCTGGCTTTAGGAATGTTCCTCATATGACAGAATACAACCTCAGTAACATTGAAATGAGGGATAAAGCAAAGATGAGAATCGTTAAGTGCCAAGAATTGGATTTTCAGCTTTGTTCTGATTAAGCTTCAGACAATTTTTAACATCCATGTCTGGTACAATTTGTTAGTTTGACTTTCAGAGGGAAGGGAATTGTATAATTGCGTGTCATCCGCATAGTTTTGTAAGTTTACCTTGTGTTTCCTGATCTCATTTACTAGAGGTAGCATGTACAGTAAGAAAAGTAGCCCTAAAATAGAACCTTGGGGAACTCCAGAGGAAAAATTTTGGACTAATGATTGGCCAAGGCAATACAACACTTTCTCTTTGTGAGATAAGATTTAAACCACTCTAAGACAGTCCCTGAGATGCCAACCTAGTTTTCAAGTCAGTATATCAGGATCTCGTGATTAAATGTGTTGAATGCTGTGCTAGGTCAAGAAGGAGCCGAATGGATGGTTTACGCGAATCAATGCAAGGTCTCAGACTTTGTGTTGTCACAAAGCAGCTTTACAGACAAATCCAGGTCCGAGCCCCCATGAGCGTCGCCAGTGGCAAGGAAAAACTCCCTAAGAGCAAGAGGAAGAAACACTGAGAGGAACCAGGACTCAAAAGGGGAACCCATCCTCCTCTGGTCGACACCGGATAGAAAACAGCATTAGTATAAAATATTAGAATACAAAACGGGGAAAAACAGGCAAAGCAATGGTTAATTAGATAGTTTGAGTTTATGCAGCAGCAGCAGTTGGGGTTACCATAGCAATGGCCTAGCAACACCTAACCGAGCACCTAGTACACCACAACAGTGCCCTAGCAACACCTTAGAACGCACCCTAGATACCATAACAGCCTGGCAACACCTTAGGGGCAGTCATGGGCTGGAGGTTAGGGAACCAAGTTTGATTCCCTGAGCCGACAGCACATGACTGAAGTGCCATTCAGCAAGGCACCCAACCCCCAACTGCTCCCCGGGCGCTGTGGATAGGGCTGCCCACCGCTCCGGGCAAATGTGCTCACTGCCCCCTAGTGTGTGTGCATTCATTAGTGTGTATGTGGTGTTACTGCACAGATGGGTTAAATGTGGAGGTGAAATTTCCCCATTATGGGAATAATAAGGGTCACTTAATCTTAACTATCACCTGGATACCATAGCAGTGGTCTAGCAATAACAACCACCTTATTATATTACAACAGCATATCATCATCTTAACAATCACCTCGGATAACATAACATTGGACAAGCAGCATTTTAGCAACCACCTGGGATACCAAAGCAATAGCTTAGTGACAGCTTAGCAACCACCTAGGACACCACAACAGTGCCCTAGCAACACCTTAGGAACCATCTGGGACACCATAGCAGTGGCCTGGCAACACCTTAATAATCACCTGGATTCCATAGCAACAGCCTAGCAACACCTTAGGAACCACCTGGAATACCAAAGCAATGGCCTACCAACACCTTGACAACCACCTGGGATGCCACAACAGTGCCCTAGCAATGCCTTAGAAACCATCTGGGACACCATAGCAGCAGCCTGGCCAAGACCTTAACAGTCACCTGAATATCATAGCACCAGCCTAGCAACACCTTAGCAACTACCTGGGATACCATAGCAACAGCAACCTTTTAGTTTACTTATTTTTCTTTTTACACTTTGCATAGTAAATTAATCTCTGTGTCTTTTTTATGTCTCTCTCTGCTCCACCTTCCTCAGAGTCGATGATCTTGCTGGGCTCTATTGAGCGCGCTCAGTTGCAGGCTCTGCTGTCCCAGCAGCTCGGTCGCCCGCGGCGACTGGAGTACCTCCGCCAGCGGGCTCAGAACGAGAGGAAACATGCGTCCATCGTTAGCACACCCAGCAGCGAGGAGGGAAACCACAAAGCCAACCATGAAGTCCGCTTCCAGGTCAGCACAGGGAGGCAGAATTCCTCCTTATTCACACAGTGCTAATTACCTCACACCCAGAACGGGAGCGAGGTAATTGGTCAGCCAGGACTCATTTGCTGATTTTTAATGGCTTTCATAACTTGGAGTTGAATTTTCGCTCCACGTTCGCTGAAAGACTGATCACCTGGTCATTGGAGCCGCCAGTTCCAGTACTGTTTTTAACAAGCCCTCGTCCACTTGGCCTCGCCATTTCCCCTCGGGGGAATCATCAATGTCATATTAAGGGTCGTTTTATTACTTTCCATTAGTACATTACATGAGCCTTTAGAGGGGCAGCAGACTGAAGAAACACGAGCATCAACAGAACTTTCCCAGAAATTACTGCAGCTGGTTGTAAGACACAGCAATGAAATACTGTAAAATGATTAATATTTCAGAACCACAGTATTCGATTGGCTGTGTTCACACTGGGTCTTAGATAACAAACTACTCCTGCTGTTATACATGACGGCTGATACTTCATAACTCTGCTAGCTTGTTCTCTAACACTAGCCCTGCAGGCCCAGCCAAAACGATGCTAAATGTAGTTTTATGACCGAATGTAATACAAAGCTTAAGTTTGCCCTTATTCGGCAGTTTTTCTCCGTTCCACCTTAAATGGAGCAGCAGTTACATTCTGGCACCTGTACAGGCACTTGAATGTAACAACTGCATTATTTAAGGTGGAACAGAAAGTTCAAATAAGAGGCCTTCATCGAATTTCTCAAGTCGTTTCTCTCAAACGTGCATCCCGTCCACTCATGCTTTGACCGCCAGACACTGCTAGAATATGGAAAATAGGCTAACCCCAAAGTCTGGCCATTCCTTTAAATCGGCTGCCTCCAAAACAAAGTGGACTACTTAAGATATGATGGACTAGGGAGGTGGTCGAGGGTCTGCTGCATTTTAATTTTTGTTTAAAACAATCCAGAAACTTCCCCCATTCAGCTAAACCCTAGCATTTCCAGCCTTGCTCGTATAATGGTTGTGACTAAACTTATACCCGAAGAGGAACAGCTTGCTCTTGTAAACCTTAACAAATTTAAAAATAACATTTTTGCTAATTTTAAAGCACAATTATTCTGTATTTGCTAAATTTGCCATTCATCCGAGTTATTCTGGATATTAATTTCTTTATAACATAATAAAATACCATAAACACCAGATGTGTCCACCAATCAATCATCAATCTGGACGCATCTAAAATTTGAATCTGAAACCAAATTCCTTTTATAACATTTTTTTTTCCTCGGAAACCAAGTTGGCTTTATATCTATTATTGAAAACATTGATTTTAAACTTTTGAATGATAGTGTAAATTTTAGATTATATAGTCGTATGCAGAATAATTTGACACCCTCAGTCGCATCCTCGACAGAGAGTTAACTTAAATATGACAGTTTTTGGTACACAGATCATTTCGAACACATTGGAAAAGAAGCGCCGAAACTTTTGCACAGGCCACATTTTATGTATTATTATTTTTTTCCCTATATACTAAATTCAGCTAACAAACAGTAACTGTGTTTTAAAATGTGAAGTGACCCTTATTGGTCCCCTCTGCATTTTGACCCATCCGTGCAGTGAAACACCACATACACACTGGTGAACACTAGGGGGCAGTGAGCACACTTGCCTGGAGCGGTGGGCAGCTCTATCCATGGCACCCGGGGAGCAGTTGGGGGTTAGGTGCCTTGCTCAAGGGCACCTCTGTCACGTATTGTCAGCTCAGGGGATTGACCTGGCGACCGTCCGGTCACAAGGCTGGTTCCCTAACCTCCAGCCCACGACTGCCCCATAAAAAAGCATATCAGATATTAAACTGATAAAAACAGATACTACACTACAAGTGTGTTCCCTGTAGAGGATGGATTAAAGGGGAATTCCACCGATTTTTCAAAATTTCTGTATAATTCAGTGGTTGAGATGTAAACAAAGTCATTCTGAGTGGTTTGATGTGAAATAGTTCATTTGCAGAGAAAGTCTGGTTTCTTTTCAGTGGTGGTGATAGGAACCAGAGGTCGCCATGACTACAACACAAATATAGCCTTTTTATATACTGTCCAAAACCACCAGTGAACCTACATGTGTTCTCTGAGAGTTTATATATGGAAAGTTATGGTAAAAGTAGTGGAAAATTAGATGAAAATGTGTTTTCTTTGGGGATTATTTTGCCATAGAACACCCTTCATGTATCCCTCCACCATGAATAGATAAAAAATGATTAAAATTTGTTTTGGACCAAAAAACTTTATCCTAAAACAATGTTTCAGACAAAAGGCAGTGTATTCATAACCATTTCATGTAATATCTTTCTGTGATGGAGCTTTTAGAGGTAGACGTCTGGTTCCTATCACCACCACTCAGCGTCATTCGCCCAGGGCTGCTGCTGTGTCTAATGTTGTGTGTTGTGGACGTGTTTCAGATTTCTACAGAGGAGTCCACGTTCAGCCCGAGCCGCTCTGTCTCACCTAAACCTCTGAAACCTGCACTGAAGAGACATTCGGTGGTGGAGAGAGGCACCGAGATTCCTTCAAGTAATCAGACACATACATTTACAGAAGACTGGAATATGCGGAATACACACTTGAGCCCTTTAACCAATCACAGTGTTGTTTGCTGTGTGCTGTGAGCATCCCAACCAATCACGGCTTCGATTAGAGATGACACGATGCCATTTCTTCTATTCTGATACTGATTCCGATATTAAAACCCTCAGAATTGGCCAACAGACCCATTTCACACTTCCGTATTTGGCACAGTGGAAGTCGTCATAGTGGGAAAACATTACAGTAGTGGCGGCATTTATGAATGAGGATCAAGAGAAAGTCCTCCTTTATAATGTCTCTGATTAAAGGATTCGATTATTCACATCCTTATTAAGGAATTTCCAAATTTTTCTAGGATAGATGTTGTTCGTTTGGTGAATTTTCAGAGATAAACGAGCTTGACAAGCTCTACAAGCTTTTCTTTGAAAATTACCAGCTTGACCACAAAGGTGAAGTAAGGATCCCGTGAAAGGTTACCCAATGAGGTCAGCTAAAGTTAGCTGCTAATGTCTTCTGTAATATAGTCAATGGTCTGTACAGTGTCCAGTGTCCAGGTCAGTGGTTCTGTGGAAGCTAATCGACATGACAACGTTGAATTACTTTAACTACTGTTTTTGAGCAGTAAAATCACTAACACAGCAAGGCTGTTCAGCTTCTTATTATTTTAATTTTCCGTTCCACCTTAAAAGGTGCATTTATACACTGCAATATAACTGCTGTACAGTTTAAGGTGGAACGGGAATTCACTGGCACCAGAATTTCTGCATGATTTAAGGTGGAGTGGAAATTTGCTGCTACCGGAGTGTAACTGCTACACAGTTTAAGGTGGAATGTTGAATAGGAAGCCGGCTTCAGACTCATACTAACACTGATGTTTACTGTGGAAAAGCATCACAACATACCGATCATCACAGTCCACACAGTTGACTGGACACTCTACCTCACATTAAATTAACATAACACCACCTTTTTTTATTTATCGATAATGGCTTATTCTCTCTCCTGATCACTGTCAGCGTTTTACCTTCTTTAAACCTGCACTGCTCGCCCGTCCAGCTAAAGCAGTGGACCTTGCTAAACCGCTCCACCAAACAGACAACGTCTTTATGGAAAAATGCGTCGAACCTGGACATGTGAAAAGGGTCTACACTGAAACAATAACTACTGATCTTTAAAAGGAGCTGTTAAGATGATCTGAAGACAGGATATCATGCTCAAACTGTATAAATGTAATCTAACTAAAGTCAATTGTTTTGGTTAAAGTGATACAGGATCTTTAACCACATCACATTATTGATTTATTGATTCATAATTATGTCTTTAATATATTCTAAAGCATATTGCAGTCGTGATATTTAACAATATAATTGCAGTGCTGGTATTTAGTGCATATCGTTCAGCCCGAAGCTGCACATATATATATTTTCTTTCTTTCTTTTCTTTCTCTCTTGTTCTCTTGTTCTCTTGTTCTCTTTCCTGACTCTTTAACTCTGTCTGTCTCCCTTTCTACTCTCGCTCTTTTTCTCTTTCTTCTCTCTCTTTCTCGCTCTCTCTCACTCTCCCTTTTTCTTTTTTTTCTCCCTTTCTTTCTTTTCTCTCTCCTACACTGTCTCTTGTTTTCTCTCCCTCTCTTTCTTCTTTCTCTGTCCCTTTTTACCCTTCTTTCTGTCTCTTCTCTCTTTCTCTCTCTTCCTGTTTCTTCTCTCTCCTCTCTTTTCTTTCTGTCTCTTCTCTCTTTCTTCTCTCTCGCTCTCTCTTTCTCTCTATTTCCTCTCTCTCTCTCTCTCTCTCTCTCTTGTTCTCTTTCTTATTCTTTCTTTTTTCTCCCTTTTTTCTCTCTTCTCTCTTCCAAATTTTTTCTTTCTCTCTTTCTCTTTCCTCTCTCCCTCTCTCTCTTTCTCGATTGCCTCTCTCTGTCTCGCTCTCACGTTCTTTTGCTCTCTATTTCCTCTCTTTCTGTTCTTTCTGTCTCTTTCCTTTTTCTTTCTCTTTGTTCTCTCTTTCTTTCTCTCTCTCTCGTGATTTCTTCTCTCTGACTCTCTCTCGCCCTCTCTCTCTCTCTTTCCCAGGTCAGGATTCAGGCATTGCTTTAAAGAGTTTGTTCTGTGCTCACCCAGAGGCTGCAGCAGTGGAGGTAGGAGAATCATCTCTTTCTCTCCCTCTTTTACTCTCATCTATCACACACACACACACACACACACACACGCATGCACACACACACACACACGCATGCACACACACACACACACACATGCATGCACACACACACACACACGCATGCACACACACGCACACACACACTCTTCATGGTGAACTTCTTGTCTGATTTGTAACAGATCTGTTTTAAATCTATTCAGATTCTGCCCTTTAACCTCTTCTATCACAGAGTTGTCACTCAGCTGTGAAACGTTAGCTAGAGGTTTTCTTTACGTTGTGTTAACGTTTTGCCTCCTGTTTCCTGATGGAAGAGCAATAACGTGGAGAACGCGGTGGCTCCTGAGCTCAGGAAGCCCAAGCGCGTGCGGATATCGGTCGTGGTAAGAACCTCGGACCGTAACCTGACCATGGACAAAACTCAGCAGAATCACAGATCACAGATCATCCAGCCAGCCATTCGCCTCCACGCCTGATCATGAACGCCCTCCTCCTTTACGCCCCCGACCTCTGACCTTCCTTCATGCAGTGGCAGAATTGAAATTTAACTTCACATTATTACATTATATATACATTATATGTACATAATTACGATTAATCATATTTGTCTTAATTACTCAAATTTGACCTTAAAGAAATTTCGTCTCTTAAATCTTTGATTATCAAAATAACTTTAAGATAAAGAAAAGCTGATAAACACAAAATGCGGCTTTTAAACGATAATTTCATTTATTGAAGATTAAGATTCATTCACAGACTATATCACTCGTGTGAAAAAGTAATTGCCCCCCTAAACCTAATAACTGGTTGTGCTACTCTTGGCAGTGAGAACTGTCATCAGATGATTGCGATAACTTGCGGTGAGTCTTTTAAATCGCTGTGGATGAATTTTGGCCCGTTTAAGGTCTCGCCACAGCATCTCGATGGGATTCAGGTCAGGACTTTGACTCGGCCACTCCAAAACCTTCATTTTGTTGCTTTTGAGCCATTCAGAGGTGGACTTGCTTGTGTACTTTGGATCATTGTATTACCCAGTTTTGCTTGAGCTTTAGGACACAGACTGATGGCCAGGCATTCTCCTTCAGGATTTTCTAATACAGAGTAGAATTCATGGTTCCATCAATGATGACAAGTCGTCCAGGTCCTGCAGAAGCAAAGCAGCCCCAGACTTTCACACTACCACCACCATGTTTCACTGTTGGTATGATGTTCCTATGGTGAAATGCAGCATTAGCATTATTCTAAAAGTCTTAGGGGTCATCTAGATGTTTTTAACAAATGTGAGATGAGCTATGTGTTGTTTTTTGATCAGCATTGGTATGCACCTTGCAACTCTCCAATCAGTGCCATTTTGTGCTGCCCAGTGTCTTTTTTATTGTGGAATTGTGTACATTAACCTTAACTCAGGCAAGTTGAAGCCTGCAGTTCTTTAGATGTTCGTCTGGGTTCTTGGGTGACGTCCTGGATGAGTTGTCAATGGGCTCTCCTAGAAGGTTCACCACTGTTTCAAGTTTCCTCCATTTGTGGATAATGGCTCTCGCTGTGGTTCGCTGGAGTCCCAGAGCCTTAGCAATGGCTTTGTAACCCTTTCCAGACTGGTAGATTTCAATGACTTTGTTTTGCATCTGTATTTGAATCTCTTCAAAACGTGGCATCATGTGCTGCTTTTTGAGACCTTCTAGCTGCTTCACATTGCCAGACAGGTTCTATTTAAGGGATGTTTAGATTCAACAGGTCTGGCAGTGATCATGTCTGAGTGTGGCTGGTAAGACTGAACTCAAAAATTCAATTGAATATGGTTAATGTAGTAGCCAAGGGGGCAATTACTTTTTCACATATGGCCAGGAATGGCTGAACAGCATTTTTTCATCATTCTCAGCACTGCAGTAACACTGACGTGGTGGTGGTGTGTTAGTGTGTGTTGTGCTGGTCAGAGTGGATCAGACACAGCAGTGCTGCTGGAGTTTTTAAACACTGTGTCCACTCACTGTCCACTCTATTAGACACTCCTACCTCGTCAGTCCACCTTGTAGATGTAAAGTCAGAGACGATAGCTCATCTGCTGCTGCACAGTTTGTGTTGGTCATCCTCTAGTCCTTCATCAGTGGTCACAGGACGCTGCCCACAGGACGCCGTTGGCTGGATATTTTTGGTTGGTGGACTATTCTCAGTCCAGCAGTGACACTGAGGTGATTAAAAACTGCTGACTGCTAATTACATATCATTAACAATTACAACAAAAAATTAAACAAATAAGAGTCATTTACTAAACTCTCAAAAAGCAGTTTGCTAACTGGGTATCAAACAAATTAGGAAGGTTTTTAAAATAATTAATTACTGCTAGAGTGCTTGATTACTGGTAGGCTTTACCCTAATGATGGCCGTCAAAACAGATGCGGAGCTGGACATAGACGTGGGCGTTAGCTGGTTGTCAAATAGTGGTTGCGTTCTATAAACTAAGCCAAAAATCTCCCATGTTTAAGTCAGGCTGACTTAGTTTCTTGTGTTCATCTGTGCTGTTTTAGGAACATTATTGGCACAATTGGAAACTCTTTAATGTTAATGTTCAGAGGTCAGAGGTCAAAGGTGGTGTAATCTGGAGGACGGGTTCAACTTAGCATGCTGAGCTGTCCATCATCAGCCATGTCTTCAGAGTTGGCCAGTTGTATAACCTTACTGTGCTATTGCGACTCATAACGTCTCCCTTTACTCTGGCATTTAGAGACTAGAGCTTAATAACTCTAGACATTAGTATTCATTATCATCTCTATAACAAGTGCATTGTATTAATTATGGTCCTTATGAAATGTTTTTCCAATGTTTTTCAAAATACATTATGATAAATTCGTGAAAGGTTTTCATGGCATTATTTTTGCTTATGCCAGAAACCCAGCAGTCAAAAGATACTCAAGCAGATAATCAAGCATTTAATCAAACAGACTGCTGGTTACCATAGCAACAACAACAGTCTGGCCTAGCTAGTAGCTAACGAAACAGCAAAGAGAGAGATTTAAGACGAACATCGATAATTCGGAGACGAATGGACTTGTTTGTGTTTATAATCACTCCAGCTGGTTTCCTGATACGTTTAATCTGCAACGAGAAACTGACAAACACTAAAAAGTCGTGAAGCTAAAGTCAGTTTCTCGTTCGCCAGCCTCTTGTTTGAATTTTCCTGTTCCACCTTAAATGGTGCAGCAGTTACACTCTGCTGCCACAGGCACCATTTAAGGTAGAACAGGAAAATTTAAACAAGAAGCTGTAAATGAGAAGCGACTTCAGCCTCGTAAAAAGTCGAACGTTTAGAGACATTTTATAAGAAACTGTTCTACTTTTGAGGAAAAGTTTCCTGCTGGAGATGTGAGAAAAGCAGCTGTAGCTGAGCTAAGCTTAAAGCAGAGCAAAGTAAGTCTGTGTTTTCATTTATATTATATTTTTTGCCTATACTAGTATATTAACACATACTGAGACTTATTTACAGTCAAAATGTACATAAAATGTGGCTCCCAATGTGGTTTAATTTTATTGAAAAGACAAAATGGCTCGGTAACACTTTCCATGAATGTCACCTTTGTAAGCATCTATAAACACATTCATAACATGTTATAATGCATTTATAAGGCATTACAAACATGGCTATAAATATTTATAAAAATGCATTACACGTTATAGCCATGCTTATTATGCATTATTAATTGTTAACATAATACATTATAAGTACTGATCATAACAAATTATAAGGGCTCATAAGTTGTATTTGTCCGCTCTAAGTAAAGTGAAGCGTACTGTACTAAAGCCTCCTCCAGTGTTCAGAGTGAGGCTTCAAGTTGAAGTATTTACTGAAGGATTTACTGAAACACTAAAACATTCACAGTAAAGCACATTACAGGCTTCAAATGTCAGAGTTTAAACTAGAGCTGCCATCAGTGTTTTACCCAATGTGGAAAAGGTAATGTACACCACCGTTAGCTTGGCATTAACTTAACACTGCTTGGTTTGCTGTGATGTAATGTAACTTTTAAAGTGAGATGCTGGTTAAGAAAAGCGAATTGTAGCAATAATTCTAGGCTGGTCAGCCTGTTTGGAGCATCTGAACATTCAAGACTGAAGCCCCGAAGATGCAGCCCTAACAGCACCAGCACTGAGAAATAAAATATTGGAAATCTCAGGGCGTAAATAAACTTTGTATTTGTCTTTACGCTCTCCAAGCTGGGACTGACTTCTTTGGCACTAACAGTATAACATGTTATGAGCACTACTTATAATGCATTATATTAAAAATTCATAATGTATAACAAACATGGCTGTAAAGTGTAATTCAGTGTAATTCATTTTTATAAATATTTATAACCATGTTTATAATGCCATATGAATGCATTATAACGTCATAAATGTGTTTATAGATGCGTACAAATGTGACATTCATAGAAAGTGTTACCAATGGTTCTTCTTAACATTTGGGTTGTGACCCCTGGCTTAGAATGAGCCCTTCATGTCCACATAGGGAGCGGCTCCTCTTCCAACAGAGGCCGCCGTGTTTTGCTGCCACGTTTCTACAGTAGCCCAGAACAGACAAACCAAACTCTGGCTCTAGAGAGGCCTTTTGCGTTTTTACATTGCAGCAGCAGATTGAATTTGGAGGCGCTGTAGCACCGAAAGACATTGAAAGAAGAAGAATCAGTGCAGCCAATGCTGGATAACCATGTTTGAGAACCCAAATTTTGACAAATGGATGATCAAACTTATTATTTAGGTCAAGAAAATGAAAGCAAAGGTGATTCCCCATCGTCAAAGAAGCAAAAACCTGGCGGCCACTGTAGGTTCTACTACATGCTTGGAAAGGGAGGGGTGATGGAGGGTTATTTAATTGGTTGCAATCTGCGACCTCACCACTAGAGGCCACTAAATCTTACACACTGCAGACAGCTTCCACATATAAAAATGCAGAAAACATGGAAAGACTCTAAGTTGTTCTGCTTCTAACTAACTGTGGAACTCAATTCCGTCTTTTATTAGACAGTCAAGCTCAGTGCTCACTTTCAAGATACACTTGAAAATGTGTCTCTTTAACTCTGTGTTTAATTAAAATTCTGTGTCTTGTATGATTTAAAATTAATACTCATAGTTTCTTCTATAACTGTTAAGCTGTATGATCTGTCTGTTAAGCACTTTGAGTTGCCACCGGTATAAATAGTGCTCTATGAATAAAGCTATTATGGTACCACTTTAACATAAGACTACCCTTATAAAGTGTTCATGAATGGTTTAAAATGAGTTTATTAATGGTTATTAATTAGGTCATAAAGACCTTAAAATCAATAATAAGCAGTTACAACACATAAACAAAAAGGGCAACAGTGACCTGCTGTTTGCCTAATAGTGAAGCCTCATTCATTTATACTGTTAAAGCTCAGATTTTGATGTTTACTGATCTTAATCTGTCTTCATCAGTCAGCATGAAACTCATCAGCTTCATCACATATTCATATTCATCAGATATAACAGCTCACTTTCGGCCTTTTTATTCATGTGTTATAACACTGACATTAGTCATTAGTCAACTATATCAACACCTGAAGCCGTTAAAGAACAGAAGCAGATTTATGAGCTGAAATAAGGATGTAAACATGAACTGAACTGAAAGTAATAATAGCCGCAGGCGAGAGTGCGGTTTACTGTGCGAGTGTGTTGTGTGGTTTTATGAGTGTCAGTGCTGACGCACAATTAGACCCCGTAGTCTTCACCTACAGACCCCCCCGACCCACCCACACAGCCATCCGGTCATTCATACACCAATCACTGCAATTAATATCCTGTTTATTTCCTCTCTCTCTCTCTCTCTCTCTCTGTGTCTCTCTCTTTCTCTCCCCCTCTCTCTCCCCCTCCCTTTCTCCCTCTCTCCCTATCTCTCTCTCTCTGTCTTTCTCTCTTCCCCCCCCCTCTCTCTCTCTCTCTCTCTCCCTCTCTCTCTGAAATATGCATGCTCTCTCTAAATGACGTCTGTGTCCTATCAGAAGGAATTATTCTAACCTGTAGGCATTCTCATTATCTCTCTCTCTCTCTCTCTCTCTCTCTCTCTCTCTCTCTCTTTCTTTCTCTCTCTCTCTTTTTGCGAGGCCAGCGGTAATAGATGGATGTTTTATTAATATGGGTTATAATTCGCACATTTATTTGTCTTCAGGGTGTGTTTGTGTGTGTGTGTTTGTTTTCATGTTTGTTTTTGTATATCTCCTGGATCACATCAGAACTTACATACATATAGACATATAGAAACGTGTATATATATGTATATATATATATGGGACATATCACATATAAAATATATGTATAATATCATACATATAATGTCATATTACAATGTATCATACGTATAGGACATTGTATTATTAAATATACACATTTATATAAATAATACATAAAGGAACTTACATATATACATGCCATACATATAAAGGGCATGTTATTATATATTATTGTATAATGTGTTATGATATTATAGTACAGCATATAATTATTACACATAGGAATTTTCAGACACACAAAATATAAATAAATAAATAATGTCTATATGACATTTTTGTTGATCCTTTTTTATATAATTGTATTATTATTATTATTATTACAGTTATTTAAAAATTTGTAAACATCAGCTGGACTTTACATTGTGTGTCACCATGAATGTCCTGATGGAACTGATTACTTTAAAATAACTTTTAAAATTAAAATCTTTTTATATTCACTTCCATTATACGTTAAGAACATTTTTTTTCATAATTACAAGGTTTTCTTCTGACAGCAGAAAATATATATATAATACATGTAGAACATTATTACTGTTATTATGATTATATATAGGTACTTCATATACATGTATGACAAATTATTACATACTGGTACATAATATGGGCCATATTTGTATTACGTATCGGTATGTAATACAAACACGTTTCCATACAGGACGTGTTACGTAGTATAATAAATATTTAATATCACAGTTAAAGACAGACCTGCGTGTGTTTTAGGGATATACGTGTTTTTGTTGTCTGCTCTCCAGACGTCTCTGATGCGGCAGAGCAGCTTCAGAGTGAAATAGAGAGGTCGATTATTAATAGTGTGTGTGTGTGTGTGTGTGTGTGTGTGTGTGTGTGTATGTATGTGTGTGTGTGTGTGTGAAGCTGCAGAATGATGTCACTGATTCCATTTTGAGACTGTGGGAATTCAGAGCGAGCGAGGTGGGAGGTGGGGGGGGTGGGGGGGGGTTGGGGTGAGAAAATGAGGAATGGTGGGACTGGTGTGTAGCCGAAGTGATATTTAAAGGCATTAATCAGTTGCGCGTGTGTGTGTGTGTGTGTGTGTGTGTAGAGTGGTCACAGACCTTTCAGACACACTGTTGCATGCACACTGACGTTTAGGGAGATGTGATGTCAAATGTGATGTGACAGGTTGAAATGTTTACGCACACAAACACACACACACACACACACACACATATACACACATATACACACATATACACCTGCTGCAGAAATCTGCAGGCTTGTGTGTGTGTGTGTGTGTGTGTGTGTGTGTGTGTGTGTGTGTCGCAGGCATGTCTTGTTGTTTGGTTACATAATTATACTGTAGGGCACTTCGTCTAGGCAGCAGCAACAGTTGCTACGGTTACCTCAGACTCAGACTGTGTGTGTCTCATATGTCTCTCTCTCTCTCTCTCTCTCTCTCTCTCTCTCTCTCTCTCTCTCTAGGATCCAGATGTAGAGGATGATATGACCATGAGAGAGGTGAACACACTTATTAATACATTAACTGTTTCAGGCATATGTATGTATTTTATATATATATATATATATATATATATATATATATATATATATATATATATATATATATATAAACTGTGTATAATGAGAATTTACAGCTTATTTCTTTTCCTTACTTTGTTTCTGTCACTCACTCACTATTCTCTCTCTCTCTCTCTCTCTCTCTCTTTCTCTCTCTCTCTCTCTGTCTTTTATTCTTGCTCTCTGTCTCCCTCGTCTTTTTCTTTATATCTTGCTATCTCTTTCTTTGCTCATTCCTGCTCTTCTCCTGCTTCCGTCCTCTTTCTCTCTCTTCTTTTTCTTTCTCTGTCTGCTCTCCACTCCTTCTTCTTCTTCCTCTTCGCCTCTCTTTTTTTCTCTCTCTATTTCTCTTCACTCTCTCTCTGTCTTTCCTTCCCACTCCGTTCCTTTTTCTGTCATCCTTTGTATGTCTTTCTCTTGTTCTGCTGTCTTTCTCACTCTTTTTTCTCGTTTTTTTTCTTCATCTCTTTCAATCTCCCTCTCTCTCTGTATGTCTGTCTCTCTTCCTTTCTCTTTCTCCCTCACTCATTTTGCTCTTTTATATCTCTCTCTCCATCTCTTTCTTTTCTCGCTCCTGCTACCATTCTCTCTCTCTCTTTTGTTCTTTTTCTTTCTGTTTGTTCTCCATGCCTTGTTCTTCTTCCTCTGTTCCTTTCTTTTTTCTCTCTTTCTATTTCTCTTCACTCTCTCGCTGTCTTTCTTTCCTGTTCCATCCTTTTTCTTTCCTCTTTTGTATGTCTCTCTCTCTTGTTCTGCTTTCTTTCTCACTCTCCTTTTTTCTCTATCTATTTCAATCTCTCTCTCTCCAGATTGCCGAGTGGGAGGAGTTACAGCTTGACGAGCAGGTCAACTTCAACAACTGTAAGATTGACCCCGCCCCTTTTCAGCTCGTAGAGCGCACCTCACTGCACAAGGTACGTGTTTGGGGGACGCGTGTTTGGACATTAAAGCACTCACACACACACTCTCTCTCACACACACACACTCTCTCTCTCACACACACACACACACACACACACACACACACACACACACACACACAGATGTATGTTTCCACATACAGGGCATCGCTAGCAATGAGAGCCAATAAGTGTTCATTAAGATTCTCTCTGCAGTGTAACACACACTCACATACACACACACACACACACACACACACACACACTCACACACACACACACAGAGAGAGAGAACTCATTCCCTCTTGCCGCGAGCAGTGGATGTGCCTAATGTCCTCCATTCATCCCCTTCACACACCCACTCACTTCACACACACACACACCACACACACTCGCGCTGCTCCAGCCTAATTTCCCCGTCCTGCTTTTTAAATATTCAAGAGTGAGATTTTAGCACAAATCCATCACAGCCATCCTTTTTCCCACTACAAGTTTATGATTCCTCCTGATAGTTGTTACACAGGTGGTCATATTTATTAGTCAACTAGTCACTCCAAAATAAGCCAACTAGTGGGACCTTATTTGTTTTTTTAAAATGTGAGCGCTCTGTACGTCTCTGGAAAGTATTTCGGTGGTAACTCGCTGATAGGGGCTGGTTCTGGGCTGCTGTTGCGGTTTGAGGGGTGAAGTGTGCATTGCAGAAGAGTTTTAATGTTGTATTTCGGTTTGTTTTAGCCTCAGCCTGCTCTGCCCAAAGACGTACCCAGGCTGTCTGATGTAAACTGCATGCTAAAATCGTCTCTGTTTCACCAGCTAAATGCTGATACCGAGCAGTTGCATCTCCACCCATCAGTAGGCGTATTCCCTGAACCAGGAAGCATCCATGATGTCCCAGTTGGAAACCTTATTCCCAAATTATGTTTGAAAACGTAGGCAGCAGGTAAATGAGGAGTCTACGTTTGCCGAAAGGTGCTCTAGGTTTGTTTTTGTTGCACGTCACGCTAAACCAGAGGTCGCCAACATGCGGATCCAGAGTCACTTGCGGCTCTTTTGCTGCCCTGTTGCGGCTCCACAGCTGAATTAGATTTTTAGATAAATATAAAATAATCCTCCTTTGCAGTAAAATAAAGCTCTGCTGATCGTTCTACCAAGAGCCAGTTTCTGCAAGGATCCATGCCGCCATGTCCTCCCTGCCATCTCCCACCGCCTATATGGCATTGCAACAGTCTCCCGTGCTGGACTTTGCGGGTAGTGGGCCCACACAGTCCCCCCACATTGCATTTTCAGGCTGAGCCCGGCCGGGTTACGTGGGCTGCCCAGCCACCAGGTGCTCGCCGAGGAACACTACCCCCAGGCCTGGCTCCGGGTGTAGGGCACACGTTTCCTGCATCCCTTAGTCATGGAGGATTTGGGAGACCTCGGAAGACCCTACCAGGAGCATTGCTCCAGACGACTTAGCTCTGAAGATCCCTAGACTGCACAAGCCCTTCTGCAACGGCAAGGCCCCAATCCAGGAAGGGAAATGAGCTTTCTTCGCAGGGTGGTCGCTCCACTCTACTTGATAGAGGGTGAGGAGCTCGGCCATCCAGGAGGAGCTCAAAGTAGAACTGCTACTCTTCCACTTCGAGAGGAGCCAGTTGAGGTGGTTTGGGCCTCTGATCGGGATGCCCCCTGGACGCCTCCAGGTGGAGGTTTACCAGGCCCAGCCTACTGGGACGAGTACCCCGGGGTCATCCTAGGACCTGCTGGAGGGATTATATCTCCAAGTTGGCCTGGGATCAGCTTGGGGTCCCCCAGAATGAGCTGGAGGAAGTTGCGGAGGACGGGGTCATCTGGGATTCTCTGCTCTCCCAACTGCTACCGCGCCCTATCTGGATTAAGCAGTTAATGATGATGATGATGATGATGATGATTATTATGATGATTGTTCTAACACAGTTTTAACAATAAATGGTTTTAAATGCTGGAGTTGATTGGCACGTAGACTGCAGGTCACCATAGCAACGCAGACAACACTCTCGCCTAGCTAGTAGCTAACCAAACAGCAAAGAGAAAGATTTAAGACGAACATCGATAATTTGTAGACAAACAGACTTATTTGCGTTTATAATCACTCCAGCTGGTTTCCTGATACGTTTAGTCTGCAACGAGAAACTGGCAAACACTAAAAAGTCGTGAAGCTAAAGTCAGTTTCTCGTTCGCCAGCTTCTTGTTTGAATTTTCTCGTTTGGAGGGCCATGTAGCCCTAACACTTCGCCCTACCCCTCTATCTCAACACAAATCGAGACACCTTACCCCTAGACGTGAACACGCAAAACAGAGGGGTAGGGCTAAGTGGTAGTGGGGAGGGGTGAAATTGGATTGGGCCTTACTTTTTGTGCCCGCACCTTAACTCCCCTGCCTGTCACTCTGTTCTCGCTTAGAAAGCATGATATTGTAGAGAAGATGGTGAAGAATGAAGCAGGAGATGCTACAAACAGTTAAACGAAGCTCTTTATTTGGTAAACACAACTACACCGACAGCTGCGGCGCCCCAAATAGCCCCCTTTATATGCAGAGCAGCAGAGGAGGAACAACCACAGTGTCATTACTGGGAGCGACTGGACAGGTTTTTATTAAAAACTCTAAATAGGTTTTCTATTCTGTAGCTTTTGTCCTCGATGACTACATTGCAAGTTTTCTTTTGGCAGCACTAAAAAGAAAAGTACTTTCCTAAATGGATTCACTGTTTATGTCTGGTTTTCTTACGAGTCTGAGACTCAGTGGAAAAAAAAAAACAACTTTTATTTTTCCCCGCTTACGGTTACCACGGGGAGTGATGCTGTTGCTATGGGAACGGTAATCCTGAGACACAAACTTAGCAGATGGTCAATACGGTTCCCTCTGCAGAACCCCGGCTGGGAACTTCTAATCAAAATATTTAACACCTGATTAACGTAATTAAAGGGTAACGGATCCCATTTGAGCCTCTAATAACGCTGATTGCTTTAAAGTGTTGAGGCCGACTTAGTTATTTCCCTTTTTGTTTAGTTTTATTTGAGTCAACAGGAGCAGCAGGGAGACAGATAATGAGTAAATTAAAGATTGTTAAATGTGTTTGTGTGTTTGTTTGTTATTCAGGACTCATATTTCACAGATTTCTTATACAATTTTCTGCTTATGATTTGTGTGTGGGTACCAAAAACAGTCATAATGAAGTTTTTACACAACCTCTTTCTGTTGTTTTTGTCAGTGTGTTTATAACTGATATGTAAATGCTCTGCGTTCTGATTGGCTGCCCTGTTTTATGCCTTGTTTAAAAAACATAACTTTAGGGTTAATGGGTAGAGCTAAGCTGCTGTAGCATGAATATCAAATTTATCAAAATATATATTTTTTCTTTGCTTTACTTGCTTTAGGTTTTGCTAGGTGGTTTCTGTAGTATTCCAGGTGGTTGCTAGGGTGTTTGGTGGTTGCTAGGAGGTTGCTATTGTATCCTTATTTGTTGCTGGGGTGCTGCTACGTGGTTGCTATGATACCTAATGTGGTTGGTTTGCATTTCAGTAAAGTTGTGGTTGTACTGTAGTGTCTTGTTTAATTTACCTACAAAATTCTAATTAGCTTAGTAAAACCACTCACTTTTCTGGCCAAAGTCAATTTCCTCAAGGTTGTGGTGCCTTTTTGCCTGAGGCTGTTTCACCTGATGTTCAGATGTACATGGTTTCCTGAGACCCGAAGCTGTTTTGTCTGATGTCTGACACCTGATGCTGTGGTCTGAGGATGTCTTAAAATATACTCCAAAACTTGGAGGGCTTTTTGTACATAGTATTACACAGCCTGTACCCCAAGAGAGTTCAACTAGTGCAGCTCAACAGCCAGGATTTTAGGACAATTTCATCTGTTTGGTACCATTAATGTACATCACCCAACATGTCTTTAAAAGTTTAGTCATGTTTTCGTGTGGGAATACTAGTGTCTTGCAATGATTAGCATGAACAAAGTTTTTTTTAACTGGTGGTAAATTAGTTTGTACTGTGATTGGGGGCTGTTACCATGGTAACTGAACCGTCACCAGACACAGACATACTGTTGTCTATAAAAATGCATGTATAAAATTCAAGCAGCTGTTTTTAATCCAATCCTCTACTGGAAGCGAACATAAATATGACAAAATTTTCAGCAATTTTTCATTCACAGTTCCTATTTGTTTACCGAATACCGAATACCGAACACATTGAGGAGAAAAAAATAAAACATAAAAGGTGCCATAACTTTGCCACAGGCCGCACAACATGTAAAATCCAGCAAACAAACAGTAATTGTGAAGAAGCATATTCTCAGTAGAGGATGTGTGTTATGTAATTTGACCAGGGATGCACAAACTTTTGCACATGATTGCTTGTGTTCAATCCAATAGGCTTTATTGAGAATACAGTTACAGTATTGACACTAACATGACAGTTCATAAACATTTATGACTTGTTTTTCAGACTCACACTATTTTCTCTCTGTTGGGCCTGGACCACGCCTACGTCACCAGCATCGGACGCCTCATAGGAGTCGTATCGCTACGAGAGGTACGTAACCTGTTGTATTTCCAAGTGTGAAAAATTCTAGAAATTTATGAAGCAAAACTGTATTTTTGTTTCTGAGGAAATCTGTTTTTAACATCTGTTAAAAATGTAGTGTGTTGTATATGGCCAAAATGGCATATATGGCCAAAAGGTTTGTGGACACCTGAACATCACACCAATATGAGCTTGATAGACATCCCATTCCAAATCCCAAATAACAGCCTCCACTCTTCTGGGAAGCTTTCCACGAGATTTTGGAGAGTGTCTGTGGGAGTTTTTATGCACATTCAAAAGTCAAAAGAGAATTTGTGAGGTCAGACACTGATGTCGAGAGGGTCTAGCTCGCAATCGATGTTCCAGTTCATCCCAAAGGTGTTCAGTGGGGATGAGGTCAGAGCTCTGTGCAGACCACTGGAGTTCCTCCACACCAAACTCGTCAAACCATGTCTTTATGGAGCTGCTTTGTGCACAGGGGCTCAGTCATGCCACACAGTTGGAAGCAAACCCTGAAAAACAGCTCCAGCTCATTATCCCTCCTCCTCCAAACTTTACTCTTTGTAGGTAGTGTTCTCCTGGCATCCACCAAACCCAGATTCGTCCAACGGACTGCCAGACAATGAAGCGTGATCTATTACTCCACTGCTCCAGAGACAAGTGGTGACACGCTTTACACCACTCCAGCCAACACTTGGCATTGTGCATAGTGATATTAGGCTTATGTGGGGCTGCCCAGGCGTGGAAACTCATTTCGTAAAGCTTCTGATGCACAGTTCTTGTGCTGATGTTGCTTCCAGAGACAGTCTGGAACTCTGTAACAAGTGATGCAAAAGAGGACAGGCCATTTTTACACGCTACATGCTTCAGCACTTGGCCCCGCAGTGAGTCGTGTGGTCCACCGGTTAGTAGCTGAGCTGTTGTTGCTGCTAGGCAATTTCACAATAATACAGCTTACGGTTGTCTGGGGCAGCTCTGAACCTATGACCCTATGACAGTGCCATTTTTAAAGTCACTGAGCTTTTCAGTACAACCCACTACTGCTAGTATTTGTCCCTGGAGAAGCATGGGTGTGGCTGAAACACCGGAACTGGATAATTAGGAGGGCTGTCCACATACTTTTGGCCGTATAGTGTAGCTAAGTCTTGTTGCTAGCTGAACAGTTTGCCCTCTGATTTTTAGCATGGGCTCTTGTTAATTCGCAAAACGATTGTGTCGTAGCTCCGCAAAGCCATCGAGGGCTCCGTGACGGTGAAGGGGGTGAAGGTGCGCCCCCCTCTGGCCAGTTTCAGGGACAGCGGCACCAGCAGCAGCGACGCAGAAGTGACGGAGCTCCACAAACTGTGGAACCGTCACACCAACCTGACCCTGCCTCAGGACCACCAGCCCTCAGACTCTGATGAGAAGTCCCAGTGAAGGGAGATAAGAGAAGAAAAGGGAAAAATGGAGGGAAAACAGATGAATGAAGAGGACAGAACGGACGAGAGTTGTAACCGACGGCCGAATTTTCATCTTTTAAGAGCGACGGACAAAAAAAAATGTTCTGTATTCGCGGAGTGCTTTTGTCCCCGCCCACTCAGACTCCACCCCCTTTCTGACCCATTCTATCATGTCCCGCCCCTCCTGCACTGATTCCTTTCTTTATTTGAGAAGGCGAGGACCTTTTAGAGCTCTCTTTGCTGTTGGTTTTGAAAAGGGACCTACTTTTTTAACACTAAGCGCCACTTTTCTTCTGTTCTTCTCCGTCTCTTCTTCTCGAGCGCGTCTTCCTAATGAATGCGTCCCTCGCCAGAAAGTGCGATTATGTGAGTGAGTCAGAGAGAGAGAGAGATGAAGAAAGAGAATTTCAGTCCTCAGTGCTGCAATTTTTTTTAAAAATTGCAGAACTTTTTTAGAAATTTTTGAATATTTTCAAAATACAGATTTAGCTTTTTTCTCGTACACTAAGACACGCAAAGATAAACACTCATTTAGTGAGATCTAATGTGTCCTTAAATACTGACCAGTATCCTTTGTCACATACACTGACCACTAAACAGGCTAGTTTCTCCGCAGCCTCATTTGCTTTCATGTATATGTAATTTAATTCCGAACGCTACAGATTTTTGTACTAATTTAGCTAACAGCGATGCACTTTTATTTTGTAAAACCCTTTTTTTTTGTTGAACTAACAGCTACAGGACACTTCGCTTGGGCAAAGTGCCAAAACTTGCACGAGACTGACCAAACGCTAACACCACAGTTTAGTCGGAAGTGGCAGATTAACCTACGCTATCTATTTATTAGTATTTTCTCTATTTATTTAACTGACTGCAGTTATTAACCCGATGCTTTCTGCTGCTTAAAAATGGCAAGATTAAAGTTGTAGTTCGGCGAAAAGTGTAACATACACAATCCCAGCCTTTTCCCACATGTAGTCAATCAGCCAAGACACGTTTGGTGCCTTTAGTTTAGGCTAATGTAGCTAATAAGTAACATAAATATATTAGCATTAGCATAATGCAAACCACAGGCCTAAACTATCTCTCACTTGCCTCAAACAATGTCCAGCTGTCATTTCAAACAGGCACGCGGTTCACATAATGCTAACTGGTGAAAATAAGCTTCTATTGCTTGTTAGCTACATTAGCATCATAGCACAAGTGCTAAAACTAAAGAAGCAAAATTGTCTTTGGTGATTGGCTACATGTGGTTTAAGGGGGAAACTTCAATTGTGAATTGATTTTCCTCCAAACTATCACTTTAATTTCTCTATTGGCTCGAGTGAATTGTCTTGTATTCTGTGTTTATTCCTGTATTTAACATCCGTCTTACGATGTCATGCTGATTCGCTGATCTTTAAACAGTGTCCACCAACAGTATTTAATCTTTACTGTGCACAAAACATTGTAACGTTACTCGAACATCAGTGAATCTGAATGTCGGAACGTCTGAACACGCAACGCACTTGAACAAACATTTCTAATTCCTGCTGAATTCCAGCCTGCTCTTTTCTGAAGGATAGTGACCTAAGATGACCCGCTTCCAGTCCAGCCCTTATGGGTCCAACCACCTGTCCACGTTTTAGTCCGAACACACCCGGTAATCAGCACTTGTATGACCCAAGGTAGGTCTTAAAGGGAGAAGGTGATGCTACTTCTAATCTTCATGAGATGGAGGTAGAAATGATTAACAGTATTTACTTAAAGGAGTAGTTCAGTGAATAGTCCACATGTGCGCAGCTCACTCCATAACCTGAATGTAGTCAGTTAGCCAAGACACTGAAGTTTGCTTCTTTAGTTGTAGCACTGGAGCTATGGGGCTAACATTGCTAACAAACACTAGAAGTCAGTAGTCACCCAAATCTTTTCAGTTTTGCACTGGAGCCACTTTTTTGATATACAAACAACAACACGGGGTTAAATATTTAAAAATGAATTTATTTTAAACCAATTTTTACTAATATTTTCCAACTTAAGTGACCAAATTCTCATTAGCGCAGCATTAGAAGAAAAATGTGTAAACAGTACTTTTGTAACCAGTTTTGGTTTTCATAATCTGTATACAGTTGTAACTTAGTAAAACATATAATATACAGACATATAATGACTATATATAAGTATTTTGCAATTTTTTCTCATTACAGCAACACGTTGACAGACATTGGGGTTAGTCTTTTTACTTGTTTTTACAGTTTACAGTTAAGGAAATTAACAGTGAAAATTAATGCAGACTCAATTTTTTTTCTAATTAAAAAATAAAAAAATTGACACATCACAGTGATGAGAATTAGGATTAAAAAATTCTTAAAAAATAATAGAAATAATAAAATTAATGATTAGTCATTTTGCTGTACCTGACAGAGCTCCAGGTGATCTACAAAGTTATATAAATGTAGTTTATCTCTGTGATGATTATGACCGGATTTTTCGGACATGGTTTGAAACGGCTTCGTAAGAATGATGTCACACGACCGTTTTCCAGTGTCTCTTTAGCCTTTAGAATTAAACCAGCTAATCATGCTTTACCAGTTGCAGAACACTGTTGATTGTTTTGGATAACATTATGCTTAATGAATTACTGATATAACCTAATTGAGTTAATGTAGAGTAATTCCAGGTAGTTGCTATGGTGTTGTTAGGGCATTGCTTGGTGGTTGTTAGGTGGTTCCTAAGGTGTCACTAGGCTGTTATAAGTGTAATATCCCAGGTGGTTGTTAAAGTGTTGTTAGGCCATTATTTTGGAAATCCCAGGTGGTTGCTAAAGTGTTGCTAGGCTGTTAGTGTTGTATCCCAGGTGGTTGTTAAAGTGTTGTTAAGCCATTGCTTTGGGTATCCCACATGGTTGCTAAGATGTTGTTAAACTGTTGCTATGGTATCCCAGGTGGTTATTAAAGTGTTGTTAGGCCATTACTTTGGGAATCCCAAGTAGTTGCTAAAGTGTTGCTAGGCTGTTAGTGTTGTATCCCAGGTGGTTGTTAAAGTGTTCTTAGGCCACTGCTTTGGGTATCCCAGGTGGTTTTTAAAGTGTTGTTAGGCCACTGCTTTGGGTATCCCAGATGGTTATTAAAGTGTTGTTAGGCTACTGCTTTGGGTATCCCAGATGGTTGCTAAGGTGTTACTAGGCTGTTGCTATGTTATCCCAGGTGGTTGCTAAGGTGTTGCTAGCATACTTGGTGAAACAAGCCATAAGAAATAAGAGGAATGTACAGAAACATTTGGCTACAGAGTGTATACTCACTGGTGAAATAAAAAGTAGAAGTATAGTGATTTTAGAAGTGGAAGGTCTCATTTTCAGGATGTTGAGCATTCGTTCTTTCATTCCTAACGAAAAATCTAAGACTGTGTTTGAGTGCTGTATGAACACTAAGTCAAATTTTAGTCAAGTTAAAAAGGAAAAGCAACCTAATAAGGTATATCCTCTGTGATCCTACAAAGTTTGGCAGTTTTAAAGAGCTGTAGAAGGAGTAAATGTTTGACTATAGAATAATTATTAAAAATAAAAATAAAAAACGCAGAACATTAAGTTGGCTTTTTCAAGTCAGAATCAGAAAGTGACAAAAATTCTGTTTTGTTTGATATGGGCCCTTTCAGAAATCTCAGACTTCTGATACTGTACTGTACTGTACTGTATGGGGAAAAACTAAGGCTCCAGGGTTAGTTTAGCTACATTAGCCTCGTAGCTCCATCACAAAACTTATGAAGCGAATTTTAGACACGCCACATCTTACCTCACGGTCTACATTAGGAGTAAGTGTGTCAGTTTTTCACTGAAGTATTCCTTGAATATGTCTTAAGGGGGAATCCTAATGATTTTTAAAAATCTCATCATTTACATAATTCAGTCACTGAGATGTAAAAGTAATTCAGAGTCGTTTGATATGAAATGCTTCATTATAGAGGAACATAGTCAGATTGCTTTACATGGGGGGTTCTTTAAGGACTGTTTCGCCCTCCACCATGAATGGACTTTTCTCAAAACAATAAGTGCATTTACATGCACTTAATTATGCGATAACTGCAGAAAATCAGATTTTGTCAGTAGTCCGATCAATGTGCTTACATGCACTTGAGTAATCAGGGGGAAACTTCAGGTCTACATGAGTCAGGCAGTAATCAGATTTCTGTTTTGCAACCAGCAATAAATTCACAGAAACATCGCGCCACTTTACCTGAAAATATGAACATTCATCATCTAAAAGATTAAGAACATTTTAATCCGTCATTTCGTCAAGCATGTAGTCGGTTTCAGCGTCGCTCCAAAAGTGTTTTGCTGTGTCTCGCTTATTTCCAGTACCGTAGCCTGTTTTCGCACATGCCAGACTGAGAAATCTGAAAGAAATCAGAGTAAGAGTCACATGCACTGAGAAATCTGATTACTGAGCTAAATCCAGCTCTCTTTATCGAATTTCTTAATCGGATTTCTAGACCTCTAAGAAATCGGAGTGTGCTGTTTAAACGCACTCAGTGTCTCAGGTGTCAGGCAGTGTATTTGTAACTCATGTATTGTCTTTATGTGAGGGAGCTTTTAAAAGCTTTAAACTCTTCAGACGTCTGGTTCCTATCACCACCACTGTAAACAGCTCTTACTCTGGGTTACTCTAGAACAAAGCATTTCACATCAAACCACTCTGAACAACTTTACATCTTAAAAACTGAGTTATGGGAAGATTTAGAGAAATAAGTGGAGTTTCCCTTTAACCAGCACATTCCATAAGCACTCAACCTCTCTCTGTCTATCTCTCTCTCTCAACACAGCTTGATGTCCAGCTTGTTTCCTATGTTGTGACCAAAAACAAAAGTATTTTGAGACATAACAAGACCTAACGAGACAAAACGAGTCTCATAGAACAAAAACAGAGAAGGACAGTTCTAACGTCATTGTTTGACGGTCGTCTTATTCGTTATTATGAACGTTTGTTCTGTGCCTTTTGATTTTTGTACCTTTTTTTTGTTTGGTTATTTAATCAATCGAGTTGATTTGATATTGATTCGCCATTGACGAGTGTCCATCATCTCACCTTGACCAATAAGCTTTAATCGCCGGTTATTTGCGTGTGGGTGGAGGGCGGGTCTAACGTGTTTGATGGCGCACTGTAGAAGTATGATTTTAGGTTTACAGATTTAATATATATTTAATGTCATTTAACATATCATAACTGTAATGAGCGAATTAACTTAAGATCATACTTTTGTTTTAGTTGCCTTTTTCTTTCTTGTTGTTTGTTCGTGTTTGTTTTTTTGGTGACTCCAGTCCCTGTTGGGAAATCTGTTCATATTGTATTCGCAATCTCCAGAAATGTTTCTTGAACTTCGGCCCACGTTGCTATGGCAGCAGCGTAACGTTGCCTGAATGTTTGGTCTGTTTTCCAAAATGGAAAAGATGTTTAAAGAAATAGTTTGGCGAAAAATCAACCAGTTTTCCTCTCACCGCAGATAGAGTCAATGTTTGGTGTCCAAATTTTACTGCTTTAGTTTAGAACTGAAAGTACCAGAATGTTGCTAACAGACACTTGAAGTCAATAGTCACCCAAATCCTTTCTGTAAATAAATGGGCTAAACTTCTCTCATCTTGTTCAAACTGCATCCAAGTTTACTGTGAGCTATTAAAATGAACAACATTTCATCGTGCGGCTGCGGGCAGCAACAGGGTCAAGTTTTGTTCATTTTTATGAGTCATAGTAACTCATATTGGACCATATTCATCAAAGCTGCGTATGGTCAAATCTGTAAAATAAGAGTATGCAAATTTCACAGATATATTACTCATAAGTTTCATTTCTGGTGTAGCTGTACAATCACATCTGGTAGAAGTTTCAAATCTTATTTTTCCCAGTCTTGGTAAATTTAAACACTATAAAGTTTGATCAGTAGGGGGAGCAGCGCACTCACTGCTCAATCTCAAACTCCGCCTACAAGCTCAGCAATTGGCTTACGAGCTGCTGAATGCCGTCGTCTGCCAAAACATCTGCATGAATTAGGGCGTGCTTCATGTAAATGAGATGTAAATGAGGCTCGGGCGCTTGATTTCACGCACGGAACCTAATTGATCATTTGTGCTTAAATCTCCACTCGTTCGAAACGTTCACGAAAGTTTCACAAGTCAGATGCAAAGCGCACTTTTGACACATCTTTAAGGAATAAGGGTCCCAATGTTGCATAATGACCAACGACAAAGTGGGAACTGGGATGTTTCTGACTTCTGAGTAGGAAAATTCCCCTTTGAGCAGCCAGTTTCTGGAGTTTCTGAACGGAGTTTCTTTCTAAGTTGAGGTTTCATGATGTCACAACATGGCGGCCCATAGAACAAGAAGCAGCAGTGTGTTGTGAGCTTTTAATCAGACGTCTGAGTTGATGTTTTTATATGATATCACTGAATACAGAGGGATACTAGGATAACTGCAAGCTTGAGTTGAATCCAGCTGTGCACTTTCATGAAATTGGTGTGGTTTTACTCACATATAAAATAAAAGAACACTAACAAACAGCTCCGTTCTAAGAGCTTTCTAAACATCCACGACAGCCAACAACAGGTTGCTAGCAACACGGTGCTAGATCCAGTTTTCATCAACCTCAAACAGTTGCTTGAACGCCTTCAGATGGGAAACGTGAGTTTGAAAAGAGTTTCCAGTTGACATGAACACAGCTTCTAGTTTAAAACTAATGTGGGAAAATTTGGACACCAAACATGCCTTGGTTGATCGACTGCATCAGGGCTAAGTGAGTTCTCAGTTGTCATGAACGTCACCTACAAACCACATCAGCAAGTGACTTTAATGCAGAGCTGGATGTGGTTTGAGATGTTTCGTGCATATATTTACAGATAAGATTTGGGTGACTATTGACTTCAAGTGTTTAGCAACTTTAGCCTCGTAGCTCCAGTTTGAAACTAATGAGGGAAAATTTGGACACCAAACAAGCCTTGGTTGATCGACTACATCAGGGATAGGTGAGTTCCCAGTTGTCATCAATGTTGACCATTTGGGTGACTATTGACTTCTAGTGTTTAGCAACGTTAGCCTTGTAGCTCCCGTTTAAAACTAATGAGGGAAAATTTGGACACCAAACATGCCTTGGTTGATCGACTGCATCAGGGTCGGGTGAGTTCCCCACATTAGCTTTGTAGCTCCAGTTTAAAACTAACAAGGCAATGTTTATCCTGGCTGACTGACATCTAGGTTGAGTGGAGAAAATTGGGTAAATGAGATTTTTCGCCAAACCGTTCCTGTAACGTATCATCTCACTTAAGTGCCTACAACATCTCAGATGAATGTGATCTCGGCAAGGGTTGCAGAGTATATACGGAAACACAGGTCCATGCTACCCACACTCCTTACTCACACTTTCCTCACACATGTAGCTGCGGCGTGACGTCACTCGCAGTCACGTCAGGTAACCATGGTAACAGCATCTCTCCTCCTAACGATGGGACAGGACCGTTTTGCGTTTTTGTGGTCTGTTTCATTTCATCCACTAGCGAAATCACAAGTGCGTATTTATTAACAATCATCTATAAGAAATCGAGTAGAGCAATATAGAAGTTTTATTTTTGTTATTAATGTCATTGTTGTATTTTGATGAACGATCTAAAGGTAATGAAGATGTGCAATAACGGTTTGTGGGGTTTGTGCGTAACTATATTTGAAATCTGGGACTTGACATGGATGGGAAATAACCTTAAAAAAGAAAACAGACAGCCAAAAAGGGGCATAGTAGGCCTAGCCATGGCTGAGTCTCCAATGGCTCCCTGTTCCCTACATAGTGCACTACATAGGTCTTAAAGTACTGGCTCCTGCACCCAAACAGTGCATAATACGTCTAACAAAGATATATATATATATATATATATATATAAAGTATGCACACATCCCGAGTGAATTCCAGACAATAAACAGAACACGCACACGTGCGCCTTGTTATTTTTCAAAAAGAAAGGAGTAATAAAGCATTGTTTTTTGTATCAGGGATGAATAAAGAGATTTTAACATACAAACCTGTGTTTTCCTGTCTTTCTTCCCCTCATTTGGGCCTGTCGTGGCCTCCCCCAGCCGTCATCTGTCCTTTCTTTTAGCCCCTTGTGTTTTTAAACGGATAAACAGCATATGCTCCCGCAGACTGAGTTGTTACTGTTGCCGGGGGGGGCGTTCCCGCCACACTTTCTCGGCTTCTGTTTGGTTGTGAACGTTACGCGCGGACCCCGCTGACGCTCGTCCCGGAGCTGTGATTGGTCAGTGGAGAGTAAGTAGGTTGCTAAGCCCCAGGGTGTGTTTCAGGCGTGAGTTACTCTGTTCTCTAGAGAACCCGAGGAGAAAAAAGAACAAAACGTCTGAAATTATCTCGGCCTCTCTGGGATTAGCACCGTTAGCCTGTAAGTAATACTCCTGATAAACTGTTGGGGATTTAGCACCGTAATCTGAGGTGATGCCTACATGCCGTAATCCCCTTTAGAGATTATGCATGTGCGTGTATGTACACTATAGACCGACCAGCCATA